AGCGCTCCCACACAGTCCAGAAGGTTCCATACAGCAAGGATCCTGATGCAGGAGCAAAAGAGACTCCTCTTCTTTCAGGCAGTACAACATCCCTGAGACAGAGAAAGGCAGGGGTAAATAAAGAACAGACCATCTAATGTAACAAAAACAGTTGCATATACATTCAATTGTGTGGCCAATATTACATGCAGCTTGGTAAATATTTGTTGTTGACTTGAGGATGTTCAGCTAAGTGAAAAGAGCTAACTGACAACATTGAACGTAATCTTAAAAATGCGGACCCCTTCGCTGCCAACCACAGCAGCTAAAATACCATGATATTTTTGGTTGCAGGTTTTATTGGAGTAGGTTCCTGATTTTGGGGACATTTCTCCACAGTTTGGTTGGTTAACAGAAAAGACCAACCAATCACCATAACCTATCACCATAACTGCTCATATAGAAGTTGTTACCTGGCATTGACAGAGTGGAGTTCTCCCTGGAAAAGCTTGAGGACAAAGGCCAGAAGGTCACTGTGAAATTGTAACAGTGTTGGAAGGGCAGGTCCAGGGAGTGGGTGACAAGAGACCCCAGTGGACAGGCAATAACTGAAACAAAAAACATAGAAAATCAGTAAATAGAAGATTATTGTATTATTACATTTTAAATAAATATCAAAAATGCTTGGGAAATAATATATCTTATAATGTAAAGAAGGCTCAATTATCTTTAAATCTCCTGTTTAAGAGGTGTACCTGATGGCAGTCTCTAGAAAAGGCCACAGGCCCGCCTTACACCGAGGACACTGCAACACCTGGGAGAAATATTTTCTCACTTTGCAGTGAGCCATCCAGGGAGGGTTGGTAATGAGCAGGTTGTACATGACCTTCCTCAAATTCCTCAGGAAGAAAGATGTGGCGTGACCCTGTGACATAATAAAACAGACAACAAATAAAGTTTGACTGGTTTGTATATGTGGATACACAGTTAAAAATGTACAAAACACATCTTACAAATGTCAAGAAATTAAGTAAACAGGTGATGCTTTTGTGCAGCCCCTGAGGCTCTTGCAGCAGCTGGTGGGAATTTGTGCATTCTGGATGTTCTGGTCCTACCTGCTGTGCATATTCTAAGAGGGAGACCAGGTTTGGGGCTGGTGGCACTAGGCCAGGGAACACAGCATTTCTGATCGAGTCCAAGGCTTCAATGAAGAGGCCGCACTCTATCATACTACCAACATTGCTGTAGTCTGTTTCTGTAGCCTGGAGGAATAAAAGAACTTTGATGAAACGTAAAAGGTATATGGAAAGTAGGAGAAAAACATTGTACTCAAAGAGATGGACGGCAGAAAGAGGAGGGCAGAAGGGTAATGGAAATCGGAAGTGAATGGCCATCAAAAGTTCCTGGAGGTCATTTCTGACTGTCTGTTACTGGCAAATAGCATATGCATTCAGAGAGTACAGAATGGAAACACGAGCACTTATAATAGCAATCTGATGGAGATCCACTTGGGTAAGGTGTGGACAGCACAGTGGAGAGTATTGTTAATAGGCCTGCCAATCAAAATTCTCAGATCAGCTGACAGTGGTGGTTAAATCGGTGACCTGAGTATGATGCGCCCTTGCTCTAGATGTCACTTGCCATTGCAATCTATGACATAAAGGAAATTGAATGACCTGATCTCCTTGATGAAACGAATAGTTATTTTAGAGATGTATGGTAGTGATCGTGGAGGGGAAGGCAGGTGGGTATGTACGTGTGTCTACCTGGGTCTGCGGACTGTGTGGGTCATGGTAACCCAGAAATTCGAGGAAGCACATTCTTGGCCGGCCCTGTAGCAAAAACACCCCATAAACAATGACAGGGAAAACAAAAGGTCATTTAGAAGCTTATTAAATGATGACTAGAAACTCAGCTTCAGTCCTTCTTTGCAATATGCTTTCACACAAACAAACACATACACACCTCCTGTTTGATGACATAATCCCTGAGCTCACTCTCCAGTTTTGAGAAGTCAACATCAACCACACTCTCTGTCTTCGTCTTCTTAGCTGGGTGATCATCCGTTATATCAAATTTCATATCCACTAAATTGCTCTGCCAAAGAAAAAGAATTACAGATTTATAAAACGTTTTGGGCAAATATTCTGACAATGAGAATAAGGTTGTGAACCCAGAGAGTCAATATCTGTGACATAAATGAGTTTGGCTTACCCCAAATAGGTGCTGGACTATGTGGCTAACAGGGTAGCAAGGAGCATTGTGGTATTCTGAGGCCTCTGTGATGGGTTTAGCCATGACATGAGTGACAGAGGCAGGAGAGGGAGGAGGGCAGTTGTATACTTGGGCTTTGCCTGCTTTAAGGAGCCTAGGAAAAGAAAGATTTAGTATAATACCCTGCAACATTGTGATCATATAAGGATGTGTTGTTGGAAGTTTGCGATTTCGGTGATACCTTACCGTTTGAACATGGCCCTGCGTGCGGGCTCTTGGACCTTGAGGAGGACCCTCCAGCCCTGGAAGGCCCCCCCCAGCCGCCCACTGGCCACTTTCTCCCTCCACTGCCTGACAGGGTAGAAGGAAGATGTGGCATCTGTGGAAATTGACACTTCATAGGGTCCCTCTGCGAGCCAGGAGCCATTCTTAAAACTGTCCAGCACATATTCTGGAGTCACCACCCACTTTCCTTTTGGGGGTGGGGTGTTAAGAAAAGTTCAGTTAGATGATTAGTTTGGATATAATCAAGTCAGATTTAAATGATTTTTCTTCATTTAAAATGATCATGACTGACCTGCAGCACAGGCCGCCAAAAACTTCTCGCTGGACAAAACCTGAGGGATAATGAGATGGGTGCTGGCCTGTTGATAGACCTAGAAGATGATCCCAGCATCAGTGTACAGTTCACTTGAAATCATTAGAATAATTCTTCAACCACAACATGAACCGTTACATATCAATCATTCACCCTGTGTTACCTTGCATTATACTGCACAAGTGTTGTGAAAGTTTGTAAATAAATGTTTTCATAGCTTTGATTTGTTAAATGCAGCCCCAATTCACTTTAATTGATCATGTCTTTTCACCCTTTTCTGATTACTCTTTCACCCTGGAGACATGCGAGAAAAACATATTGAAGGATTCAAGGTAACACAGGGTGAGTAATTGATCTACTAATGGTTCGTTTTGGGGTGAAGTTTTCGAGTTAAAGTAGTTTGTATAATATACTATTGTGATCATCCTGACAATTGTACATTTCACTAAATCCTAAAATGTGTAAAAATAACTACAGTAGTACATCATTTGAATAAACTACAGTAGCACGTTTATTCTCCCACAGTGTAAAGTTTAAACACATCTTCCTGACAGGAGCACATCAACAAAAAGAGGAACTGCTGTCAGCCAGAGGCACATTTGTTTTGCATGTTTACCAAGAACACAAAGACCAGGAACCACAGTTTTTCCTACTTCTTGTTACAGTGACACCAGTCCCTGTACATGAATAGAGTTTAGCACTACTGTCTGATATTCACTCATTTACAGTTAGTAATGGAATATAATAAAAGCATTTCACAAGAAGTGGTTGCCATGTAAATGCAATTAAGATAAGTCAAATAGTTGTTGTTTTATAGATGTTGGGCCCCCACACTGGAAGTTTAAGGGTGTGCATTTGTATCTGTTTGACTTATTTATGGCCCTTTATCCAAAATAGATAATATGTCAATCACAGCTGCCTACAAAACAAAACTTACTGTAACATGAAGATAAAGAAAACTGTCAAAAGTCAAACACAACCATATACCATCATCAATCTACACATTAGGGAAACAAATGGAAATCCATCAAAAGTTGCAGGACTATTTGACAAAATATAGTAAAGCCTTGGTTGAAATTCTGTGATTTTCACTATGTATATGTATTTCATTTTTGACAGATTTTTACTCACTGAGCCACCTATGTATTTTCCACCCAGCTGCCGGATTCCCTGGACCAAAACTCTCTTCTTATCACGGATCTTGAGCCCAGATATCTGGAAAACGTGTTTGCAGCTTTCCATCCTGATGTTAAAAACACATACAAGACAACATGATGCACACGTGCATAACACGAAAATTACAGGTAGCAAGTAAACTCATCCCTTTCGCTTTAGAAAATAATCCTGCCATTCTTGTTTGACTAGATTATTTGGATTGGCTCCACATCAAGTTCAAAGACCATTGGAATAAACACGAAGGGGAGCAATTGTATCCAATCTACATTTAAAAAGACACTTGATTTGTTTGGAAATTGAATTTGACTAACCTAGTTAATGTATAGTTCCAGAACAGGTTAACATTACTTGCATTAAACCAAATCAATATGGGTCTACTAAAACTTTAGGCGATATGCACTTAAATAATGTTGGCTTTAACATGGCAGTCTGAGACTAAATTATCAAATATATACATGAACAACCTTTGTGCATTAACTAGCACTTTATTCTCTGTTGTCATGAAAACATCTGACTGTTCGTCTACCTTTCCTCATACCACGGATCATAACATGAGTCCTCCAAGTTACGCAGAGGCGCGCCAAAACCGACATCCATTACCGTGAGCAGTGTTTAGTACAAGCGTTTGGCTGCTTCTGCCAAATACATGTATAACTTCGCGAACAAACATATATGGCGACTTTGATCATCAGTATTAATAACAGCTCTGCATATGTGTTAAATCCCTCAGGCTGATTCACCCGCCCAAAAGCATTTGTTGACAGCTTCACGGCATATGAGGGAGGCTACTCATATAGTAGTAAATATTACAGGCATAAGCAAAATTAAAATGACTATATATTGGAATTAAAAGACGTAAAATACTATATAGATTAGCTACTTTCACAGAAATGTTACCTACTGCCAGCACAATCACGTATATTTCTGCCATTAAACAAGTATCCCCCCCCCTATTTAGTTGGCTTCTTCCGTGAAGCGGAAGTTTTCATGCAGCTACTTCCGGGTTGTTGTCACGGACGCTTTCTGTCCCCGGAAATAACGGCAATATCTGGATATCATACAGCACTTATTGACTATTGGTGATGGTTGATTGATCGATAATAATAACAACGTGATTCTGACAGAGAGCCTGCTTATGAAACCGTAGAGCTGTTTACGAAAACTGCTTAATTAACGTTTCCGTGACAGCGATAGATAAACTACCATCACAGTAACCATATAAACCTAACGTTACGTGGTGGCATATTTGCTGTTTAAGTGTTTTGGTATACTGTTTTTTTTTTAAAACTACATATGGCTGTCGTAACAGAAATGTGGCAGTAAATGAGGCTGTCCATATTCCTCTGTGTGATGGATTAGCATTTAAACGAGAGACAAATAAAAGGAGCTTTTGAAAGGTAAGACACCGTTACTCAAATTAAAGGCTACACGTGCATGATGTAACACTGAACCACTATGTTTATGTGACACAGGTGCCATGTGAATCCAGCACATTTAAAAAAAGATACAGATGACCTGACAAAGTTAGCAAGTACAGTGGCAATTCTTTGTTATGCTGAGACTGACTGCCTTATCTGTGACACATGGTCAAATACTACAACAAGTTGGTAATGTTTAAAATCCACTGATCAGCATTTAAAGTGACAGTCTGAGGTATCTCTCTAATTGATGTGTTGCTTACATCTACAAACAGATGCTATTTCTTAACACCAGGCTATAGAAGATACAACTATTATAATATAATATCATTAAAGGAGCTTTATTTTCAAGCCATGACTTGTTTTTGATAAATAGTTAACATTAATTTTGATAACTATGAAGTGTGATGATTTTCAGCTTTTCGGTCCATTGTATTATTTAAAAATGAATCACATTTGGGTTTTAAGCTGTTTAAAAAAAAAATGACAACAATTTGAAACTCCTTATTTTAATGTGTGGTTACAGAGATCTTTTTTCTGACTATGGATGAAATGAAAAGCAAGTAAAAGTCAAGAGCTCCACTCTCTCAGTCACTTGTTGCTTACACCTCTCAACTTATACAATATGTGTGATTGTACCACCAAAAATACTCAAAATACTGTTATAATATTCAAGTGTACCAAATGAGAATTAAATGAGAATATAATGCATTTTAAGCCCTGGTGATAAAAGGATTAAGATGAAAAAGGTATTTGAAATATTATATATATGCACATTAAATACCTTTGGGTTTTAGACCATTGGTTAAAAAGACAATAATTTAAGCAATTTAACTTAGGGTCTGTTATATTCACTATTTCAACTATTATCTGGCATTGTACAAACTAAATGATTGAACACTATAGGCTATAAGATTAATTGATAATATAAATAGTTGTCTGTGCATCCATATTGGACATATTCATCTTTCCAGTTTAGGATGTATTGATATAGTTAATTTGTACCTAACTGCAGTTATTAAATACAACCAATGAAACTTTCATGTTTATGTCAGTTCTCCTCCGGTAAATGAATGTTTAGTAAATGATTTAAGCTACACAATATGAGCTGCTCCAGTGTAACAATATTGTCTGGTTTTTCAATATTTGTAATTGACTCATTGCTCAGGGTACTTTAATACTGTTGAATGATGATGATTATTACAGAGAAAACAGCAATGACAAGTAATATGAGGATTCAGTCATGTATTATTCATCCCCTCAGTGTAGGCTAATCACATGGGCATTTGTTATTATATTGCTATATGTTTCACCGCAATTTCTGAACAGTCTTACACAACATATTTTACGAAGATATGGTGTAGACATATTTCCCTATAGTAAAGGAAAAAAAGTGATCAATATATCTGAAAATGAGTAGTGCCTATTAAATTGACCAGAACTATCACTATATCAGGAGGGATGAAACTAAAGCCCATATAAGGAGTTATTGTTAAAAAAAGAAATCAGTCAAATGCAGTGCGCTGTAGTGGGACTATGTGGTTGCACAGCAACAGTGAAGCCATGCTCCCCCCTGAGAGTGCATTAGATAGTTCTCCCCAGTATATTGTGATCTTAGAATATGCACCTATTTAATTTATCATGTTTCCTTTACTGCAGACTGTTAGGTAAAAGGTACGCTCTTTAAAATAATGTTGACTTTAACTTGACTTGCTCTGAGTGGCTTTAAAGCGACGGCCTGGGGGACATGCTGCTAAATATTTCAGGACAAACTCATTACTGTAAATGGGCCTGTGTGTTAGCCTAGCTGGGGTAGACAGGCAGCAGCAAGAGAGATAGGACAGTGATGGGTGTGTGTAAGTGTTTCCCCTGATCTAATAGCTGTGGAGTGGATGTCTGAGGCAGGCAGCGTCTCAGTGCCTGGCCCAGTTGTCCCTGTTGCAAGACTGTGAAACACACAGGGGCTCTTCCAACATCTGCTTTGTAAAGAGCTAATGACAAGACGATGGAGACCGGATGATTTAAAGTATTTTACTAATGAGGCCCTGTGTGCTGCTTGGAGAATCCTAACACGCTCACTTACTGTACATGTACACACTTGTGCTCAAGTTAACAGATGATATGTTGGCGGACCAGGAGGTAGACACCCAGCAGACATACATTCAGAACTCCTGTCCATCTGTGAGTCTGTCTCTGATAGGTGTGCGGTGTGTAGACAACACACACACCAACGAAGGGTATTCACAATAACATTCACCCACTTACACTGTATGGCTTAGCCCAAATAATTACAATGTTGAATATCTAATCCATGGATTTAAAATTGTATTCATTTTCAGAAATGGCTGAATAAAGACCCCTACTCAGACAGTGGCACAGAGGGAGTGTGTTGATGAGGGGAAACAGTAAGAGAGAAGAAGAGAGGGAGAAATAATAAAGGACAAGCTTAACTGGTGTGGCTGTCAGCGGAGGAAAATAATATTTGTCCAGCTGGACAGGCCTCCCTTTGTGCAGGCTAAATGAATGTTGAGCTTCCTGTCTGCCCTGTCAGGGAGAGTGGCACAGACTGTATGCGGCAGTGTAGGAGCGGAGCGGAGTGTGGGGAGCTGTTTGGAGTTTGACAGGGATTATTAAAATCAGAGCAGATGACGAGGAAGGGGCGAGAGGCGGAGTGTGAGAAAGCCAAATTGACACAGACACTCTCCATTACCTTCCACTTGACTCGCGTTGATGACAATGTTGATATGAGACCCAGCAACGCAACACTGGTGTGGGATTGGCTGTTAGCATGAGCGTTAAGCACCACAGAATGGGGGGGGGGTTGCCCACAGTTGTGGCAGAGACGTAAGATGAGTTGTTTATTTAAAGCCTCGACTGAAGAGCACCTCACCTCATTGTTTATTTATTTGGTCTATTTTTTTTGTTGCTTTGTTAACTCACTGTAGTGTCAGTAGGTGGAAATGGTTAGAGGCTGAGGCAATGCATTTTGATCAGGGGTCCTCCAACTGCAAATGATTGTCTGAGGAAAGAGGAGGGGAACTGGAAGAAACCATTTTCATTGATGATAAGCTTCCTTTTGTTTCAGGTGCAATTGATTTGTGCCTCCTAATAAGACTCCTGTTTGAGGAGATTTCAAATTATTATACTCCTGACTGTGAGTGTGTGTGTGTGTGTGTGTGTGTACATCATGTGTGTGTGTTCAGTTTCTTGACAGACAGCTGTGATAATACAATACTCCACATCTCTGTTATTTGGTGTCAGCCTAAATTGTTGATTTAATCCTGACACCAGTGCTGTCTTTCTCATTATTTTGCTTTATGAACGGATACATGTCATGTGGAGTGTTTCTAATGTTATACAGTATGGCCGTCTCTCTTTCTCTTTCTAGTTCCTTTTCCCTGCAGAGCAGCATGGAGTGGCCGGGGGATTTCCCTGAAGACCATGCCTTTGTTGATCTGCTGGTTCCAGGGGTTTCCAGTGAGCTGGACTTTGAGCAGCTCCTAAAAGACACAGAGGAGAAACTCAATCTCAATGCCAACAGGTCAGTTAGAGAAGCAAAAGCATTGACTTAATATGCCCTCTTGATCCTTTTGAGCTACAATTAGACTATAGTGTTTTAAATGTATAGTTTTACTACTTTCTTTGACCTACACTTGACCCCTAATTAGTTTTACATCACTTTAGGAATTTACTCTTTATAATGTCAAAGCCAGATTGATATTAGGTACTGTCCCTGGTGGCAAAAGAACAACAGAAAGTGGAGTGCAATATAATGTGCAATTCATATATGTGAAAATACACTTGCACAATGAAAACGTATATAAATGTTAAACAGTACCTTTGACAAAACATAGTTCCAGCTTCATGATTGTATTCCTTAGCAAAATGTTTACGTCTGTGGAATTGTTTGTTTATTCTTTGAATGTTTTAAAAGCTGACTTTGTGCTGACAATAGCAAGAATCAATTTAAAGAGATGAGCAACCTGCATGACCAGTAATATAGTGCCAGCAATATGAGCTGCGTCGCTAGGTAATAACATGAAATCAAAATCAAAAGCTGAATATTTTGGACTGTTTTAATTTCTCTTTCGCTCTCTGCCAATCCATAAAAGTTAAATCATGTTGAGCTCCTGAATGAAGAGGTCTAATTTAACAAGTAAACCACGTGGGACAAAAAACGTGAATGCCCGCTATCAAAAATATTAAAACTTTAAAAATAGGATTTGTTCTTAAAGAAACCCCCTAATTTTATTGTCTGGTTTCCTTAGTTGGAATTAAAGGATTTGGACAAACCGTCTAACACAACTATCAGAAATCTACTGGAGAATAAAAACACTGATTTCCTGACCCTATAAAGATGGCTAACAGGCCATTTACATGATATTAATCATTGACCACAAAGTGTAGGCAATGTGAAGGCATAACAGAACAACATCTTTGATAAAGCTGTCTGTTTTTGTTTATGAAATATAGAAATCAAACACAAATCTGAATACAACTGACTCTAAAATAAATAAATCACACTCCACAGCTGAAGAGCCTGCATTGGTTCATACAGTACACACAGCAGCACATCAAGAGAAATCTGGCCAGTTACAGGTAACTGTAGGTGTGCACTAACCATTCAATAGCAGTAAAGCCTTCATCTAATTGCTTCTGGTTTCATCTGTGCTTGTAAATGTTTGTGTTCCTCTAGTTGAGATGAATCTTTTTTCTAGTATTGCTTAAGTCATTAAGAGTCCATAATCACACTTTACAATGGTATTCCAGTGTTCCTGAAATGTGTGGTATAGACTTTAATAACATAAAGAAAAAGAAGAATTGTTCTTAGTGGTTCAATTAAATGATATGCAATGGAATACGATACAGATTACTTAAAGCCACTCAAATGAGATTTGTTTCCTTTTGTGCACTGTTACTGAGGACTGAAATACATGTATAGATGACTGTCTATGACCCAGACGGCAAAAGTTGGAGAGCCCAAATAGACTGCTAAAGAGAGAGACATGGAGGTGGGAGAAAAAGAGAAATCTATATTTCAGGTCTTTTATCGTTTGTGGCATTGTGAGGCTGAGGGCAGATGATGAAGGACAGGCTAAATGTAGCAAGTGAACAAAGCCTCACTCTGGTACCATTAGTGGCTGGGACTCATCGGTTCCTCACGCTCTCTCTTTCTCTCTGTCTCTCTCTGCCTACCTCCCCTTCTCTCTCTTTCTTTCCTTCCTCATTCTAAATGGGAACATAATAATTGAAGATTCCACATCTTGAAACGAAAACCCTTGGGTAGGTAATTCAAGGCTTATTACAGAAGGCCAGGCCATTTTTCTGCTTTCTAAGCATTAAAGGGTTATTTTGTGTTCCTGCAGATGGGAGTGGGATAACCATTATGAGAACAAAGCATCCGGATAATGGAGAATGGGGCTAAAAATAAGGCAATCCTCCTCTCGCTGTGGGGGGCCACTGGTCAGTGTCTGTCAGGCTTCAGCTAACTTCCTCCCAGACTACTTCAGGAAAGCCCTCTTACCGTCAGGACACATCCAGGCAAAGTCTTGCAGGGCCTCTTTTTCGCCTCAACCAGGGTGGGCTGTAGACATATTATACACACACACACACACACACACACACACACACACACACACACACACACACACACACACACACACACACACACACACACACACACACACACACACACACACACACACACACACACACACACACACACACACACACACACACACACACAGCTCACTCACCTGATGCCTAATCGACTCATCAGTGTCTGGGACAAATTACGGAAGTGGAGCAGAGGAAAGGGAAACCGAGAGATGGAGGAGACAGTGCTGCCTACACCCGTGAAGGACTCCAACCTGTTTGTGGGTCAAAGTGACTGGCCTGCTCCCAGTTCTCAGATGTCACAGATTTGCCTCTAAGAGCTGCACCCTAATTGAAAGAGATTAAGATAGGCTGACAACGAAGCTGGATCCCCCAAATTGAAATGCTGTAATCCATTAGTTTTCATCAGATGGGAGAGTGCTGCAGTTCAGGGTCGGGTGGGGAGTGGGGCGGTGGTCCAACAGGAAAATACCTCTAATGAAGTGTCAGCACAAGCCTGGAGACTGCAGACAGGCCTATAGTTTCTCACTCGTAAGGCAAATGGCTCTCACTAGTTGCCTGCCAATCTTGATCAGGATACAATATCAATACTTGATTCTCTGTGTGTGTAATGCTTCTGATAACCAGGATTTAGCATATGTGTGCAAGCAGTTGGAGTTGAAAGCCTGCCACAGCAAATATCGTGCAAGGTTCCTTTCAATGAACAAAACATACTGATCCGTGGTCCTTGCAGTATGTAGTTGATTTTGTGTTTAGCTGTGCGTGACACGTGTGTTAGGTTAGTATATCAGCTGTATCAGTTCTCCGGTATCATTGGCCGGGGTGGGGGGCTGGGGGGTTGAGGGCTGAGGGCACTAAGTGGGCGACAGGCTGGGCCAGGACGGGATCAGTTTTCAGCCTGTTCATTCAAGCCCATTCACTGCTTTGCCTTTGCAGAATGGGGCCCTTTGATGGAGGAGATATTTAGTTCTCAGGCGGCTGGTTTGGCACTGACTGGAGCTGGGGCTTATTTGAAAGAGATCTTCCTGCCCCCGTTGCCTACAACCCCCCCCCCACCTCCTGTAGGCGAGCGGAGCGCGACAGACAGACAGCCCCACAGCAGCCCACCCACACTAAATTAATTCTGACAAGGAACTTAAGATAACGTCAAAGCGCTGACTAATCGCGGGATTGGGTTTCTGTAAGTCAGGGAGCTGTGAAATGTGCCATCATATCTAATAAAAGACCTCCGGTTGTTCCCTTTTTCTCTCAGCGGTGGTGAAGGTTGGGGGGTGTGCGGCTGTGGTGTCGACTGTCTAGCTATACAGCTCTGAAAAACAATTAGATTTCACTTCAGCAGTGAAAGTGCAAGTGTGTGTGTGTGATGGTGTGTGTTATCTCGGGTATGATGATTGACATGTTTGTCAAGAGGCCTAAAGAATCCTTTCCTCCCAGTTTCCTCTACCTTTTTTCTCATTCTCTGGGTCTTTTGTTGAGTTCTGCTCCTGCGTTCTTTGCCATTACAGGTTCGTCCATTGTCGTCTTTACTGTGGTAGTTGAATGGTTTTATTTTCTGTGACTGCTCTGTTTTCTACCCATTTCTACCTTCCTATTCTCTCAATCTCTTTCTGTCTCTTTCCTCGGCGTCTGAGCTGCTGGCAGTGAAAGTCATCAGGTTTGGAGCTAATCCTGCCAAGTTGATTAGGCTGCAGGTAGCTTTTACACCGGCGGGCAAAAGGTCGCAACATTGAAGAGAGCTGGATGGACTTCTTGACACAGACCATCCACATTGACTTTATAACTTACAGCACCAGGCCCTAAGGAGGGGTAATTGAAAGGCGAGAGTAAGGAAAAGAAAATTAGGAAAGTAAGAGTTTAGAGGAGAGAGAAAAGAAAAAGGGGAAATAGAGAGAAAAACTGTGGAGGCAAAGCTTGAGAATGTATCTGAAGGGGCAAGCGCTGTTGCTGTAGCCATTAGAGAACATTGTTTGGTTGAGTGAAGGCAAGGGTGAGATGATGGAAAGTGTAACTAGAGAATGAAGCCCAGAAGCCATTCTGCTTCCTGTCTTAGTCTATGGCTTTATATAGGTTTCAAGTCAACAATATATTGAGTTCAGATATGTTGAAATTGGGTCTCTGAGACTGCTCTAAAACCTCACAGGGTCCCGGGCTGTAAAGGTGGATGTCCTAGGTTTCTTCATTTTAAATTAAAAACCTCTACTTACGTTTGCTTTTAATGAACTTCAGAGAGTCGGTAAAAAGTGAGCTATACAGATGGAAGCCCATTTGAAACCTGCTGTCAATGTGAAGTCCGGGGGTTGAGCCCAGAAAGAACATCCATGTTTATGACCTGCTATAAACACACATACAGTGCTCCGTGCTGCCATTACATTGATAGCACGGTTTCACTATAAGACATGACATATGACAGAAATCTATCCTACAAATTGGATTTAGGTGGTTTGTTGCTTTTGCATTTTGCAAATGTTGTTATGTACTGTATCCAGAAGTATATTTCCTCAGAAAGTAATTGCTATATTCTCCTTAGAGAGAGCAAAGTCAGAGGTCATACAAACAAACCAGAATATTAACAGTCCTTTTGTGTTGTTTAAAGTGGTGTCTATTAATTTTACACACACTGCCGTCAGCAATCCTGAGCCATGCTGGTAATGCTTTGACCTCGCTGAAGCTGTGTTTTACAGATAGTGAGCTTTGGGCAAGCACAGTTAAGATTTGTCGCACTCCTACAGTCTGTCACAAAAAAAGGCAGTATATTTTCTGTACAACTATTGTACCAGAAAAAAGGAGTAACATGCACCGTAATACAGAAAGACACGGACAAACAGGGTTAGGTGAAAAAAAAGTTCTGCACTTTTGTAGCTTGTGTAGATTTACCTGGCATCAAATCATTCCAAACTAAAAGAAACACCCACCTTATATAACCAAGAGTGTCCTTTCTGTCAGTAAGTGTGTTCCAGGAGAATAAAGTGAGATGCATCATAAGGCCTGCCTAAAGAAGAAGAGAAAGAGGAAAAGATACTAAAAGCGAGAAAGAACTAAAGCATTAGGCAGTGTTCAACCGGTTTGTAACAGTCTATAACATTTTATCCCCTTGCGTTTTTCCCCTCTGAAACGAAAGTGTGTCAGTTTGAACGGTTATTTAATGTGTTGCCATTGTAAGACATCTGGATGCGTTCATGGCCCAGGAGCAGGCAGGAGGCAGTTTATAGACCTTCGCTAGAAAATGTGATGGGCTGTCTGAGATGGCACTTTGGCTCTTTGTCATATATGCTTAAACACACATGCATTCATACACACAATTGTGTTAGACAAGATTCAACCAATTAATACTCTCATTATCTATGGATTATATATTTGATTATGATAGAGAAGTCTCATTTCAAGTTTGCAGAGACCAAAGTGAAATGTTAAAACACCCCTTTTACCATTATTTGATTATCTGAATTCATTCATAGAGTTCTATTTCTTTTTGTAATTGATTTTTGTTGTTCAACACATCAAGTCGGTTTAATAATAATATCAACCTTACTTTGACTTTATGCACACACAAAATCCAGCAAAAAACACACATGAACAGAATAGCATCAATCACAACACCATAACATGTTTAATTATGCAGGTATGTAGGCCTGGTAAGCTCGCACACACACACACACACACACACACACACACACACACACACACACACACACACACACACACACACACACACACACACACACACACACACACACACACACACACACACACACACACACACACACACACATACCCAAATATATATGCATTGATTTGCATGGAAATGACTTAACATGTTGAGCCCAAAAATGTCATATCTAATCTGTCATATTATAGGGGGAACGGAATAGATGATGCAGTCTGTTAAAATCAAAAGAGCAGTGTGTGTGTGTCAAGGGGAAGAGTAAGACATGAGAAGGCAAGGAGCGTGTGCCTCAGATGCCTGCCGATGCCTGTAACACCACTTCACACCAGATGCTTAGCACACACTCACACACTGATATATCGATGTCTGTGTTCATTACTGTTGATGCTTCTGTATCTGTCTTCTCACGGACACTGAATGAGAGTGAGGGAGAGCCACACGTGATGATATGGTCTCTGTATGTCTGTTATGTGCCTGCTTGTGTGTATTGTTCTTGTTTGTTTGTGCTGCAGCAGCAGTCTCTTCATTTATGCTTGAATGACTAGGGTGTACTTAATCTCTCGAGAGCCTCCTATCAAAATAAAGAAACTGTCCTAGCAGATCTTGACAGTCAAACAATCCAATCGCGCCTGGGTAAGGGAAGAGTTTAGATTAACAGGAACATGTTTGCTGTGTGCTAGTAAACATGTCATGTAGGAGCAAATCAGATGGAGAAGCTCTAATCCAAACTTTTCAAAGCAGATACATTTTTAACAAGGCATACTGTTTGAAATGTTACTGAAATTAGACATAAAACCCCTAAAATGTCATATTTCTGCATATTGTACTCCTTTCTGTTGGCAGAATTAAACATCAGCGGCAAAAATTTCAAAATGTGTGGGGGGTACTTTCCGCTCAATTTCCTAAGTTAACGTTTATTTTTCTGAGTGCTTTTCTCTTTAACTCTGAGCTTGGTAAATGGTTCCATAGTCCCAAGCTTTCAGACTCACACAATGTGTCTCCATTTCCCTCAGCATTGAACAGCAGCTAAAGGAGCTCCAGGCCAAAATGGGAGAATCCCGGGAGCGTCCGCCGAGCCCTTCAGAGTGCCTGCAGTGGTTCAACCTCAGAGCCAACAGTTTCAGGCCTGTTCCCACAGGACATCAAGACCTCATGGACTTCTTCAGAGCTTTGGTAATACATCAGGGTGATGATGACACTAAGTGATGAGGATGATCATAGTAATAGCACTATTCATTTTTAAAGGTTTCACAGAAAATAAAACGGTACAAAATGAGAAATCTACAAGACTGAAAACCAATGTGTTCATGTCGATCATAATGATCAATCAATCTGAACTTGTATTGCAGGGTATCCTCGGTTTCCCACTTAATTTTACAGACTTTCTGTCATTAATAACAGACCTGCAGATCAACTGCTAGCTTAATATTAACAAGACCTTTAGATCTAAGAGAAGGCGGCCCTAAATTTGACTGCAAAATAACTTTTGTGTTTGCATTCATGTTTCGACGTATTTCCCCTCTGTTCCCCTCAGATACAGTACCTGAGGTCTGAAGAGGAGGGGAAAGAGGAAGTGACTCTTCAGCTGCTGCTGAATCTGTCTTCCCAGTGTGGTGTCTGCTTTCCATGTACCCCTTCTTCTTCCTCCTCATCCTCCTCTCTGCCGGCCGCCTCCATCCACTTGGTTCATACAGTCAGAGATGACACTTCATTGGAGGTAATTTGGCGTACAATTTTGTAGTTGAATGATATTCAATTAGGGAATTGATCACTTACAGGACAGGTTCACATTTGTATGCTGTCTCCAATCAATACAAACATTGAAAACATGATAGGAATTGTTTCTGCTCTTTATACCGGCCACAGAGTAATACATTTTTTAGAAGGATTTTGATGATAGTAATAGGGAACAAAATATACTGTCTGTTAATTCTGTGGAAAAATGCATTCACAAGTTCTGCTAAGACTTATATAAGTATTCAGAGTTAAATCAAATAGGTATCTTCCACAGTTGGACTTGGAACTAGGAATGAATGATTAATCAATGTTCAAAAGCACATACATAGTCAAACAAAAATCTATCTCTGAATCCAATATGTGTTTTAGTAGACTAGAATAAATAGACTTGAATAAACACATACGTACCTGCTAATGTTTGATCTGTTGTAAACTTGAGTAACAGAACTGTTCACTGCAAAACATGTTCACTAAGATACTCTCTCATTTGTTGCTGTTTATTATCAGTGTGTTTTTACACTTTTGGTTCAATTCACTATTTCTTTAAGATCCAGGAAGCCTGGGATGACGTGCGGCTCCAGCTGCGCCGCCACCTGCTGGAAAGGCTGTCTGCACGCAGCCCAGATCACCAAGGACCAAGAAATATGTCCGTCCCTGAACGGCTCCACTGTCTGCAACAGCTGTTCTTTCTTTACCCTGAGTCTGAGGCCCTCACATATTACCAGGTTCAAAGAAATTGTAGATTTGGATTATTCTAAATAATAATAATGATATTTTCTATATGCATTACATTTGTGTTTAAACCTATATTTTACACATTTGCTTTACCAATATGATACAATAGTTTACCAACGATTTAACAGTGATATCTTTTTTTTTGTTTTACTGATGCAGAGCCTGAGAAGCCAATCAGTGCTGGCTCTTCTGCACTCCACCCTGAGCTCTAGCCCAGGCGATGAGGCCGGCTTTGACAGACTGGCTGAAGGTTTCCGCTCTGTGGTCCCAGCTCTGACCCAGGCCCTCACAGAGGAGATCCATGTCCTTTCAAGACTAGCAGAACCGCACACCATCCTGGGTTTCCTTAATGTGGCCTACCTCAGCACTGTGACCAGAGCACTGGCCTCGCTGATGGAGAGAGAATCTGAGACGGCCCTGAGGGACAACACCTCGCTCACTAGCAAGATAAAGAAATATTCCGCCAGGTCGCGGGCAACTGTAGGTAAGCGGCTCTGTGTAAATACTCTTTATATTTTAATTTCTCTTCCTCCTGCTTCGAGTCCTGAGTGGTTAGTGGTTTGATGTACCCCACAGCAGTTTGTTCTGCCTTTTGTCCTCTTCTCTCTGTTCGTATTGTTACACTATTTAAAGTTGTGTTCCTCCCCTCCCCTTTTATTTTTCTATTACTTTTTTTACTGTAGTGTGTCGTGATCTCAAACAGACCCAAGGCCTCTGTATCTGTTTGTCAATAACTGCTGTTTCTATGTCGCCTTCCACATCTACTTCATTTTTTGAGAGAAGAGCCTGCTTCTCAGGTCCAAGGCTTTTTAAAAAAACAACAACTTCAAAACTCTATTTACCAATTTATCTGTGACTGTGATGAGCCCTTCTCCCAAGAGAGTTCCAAGCAAAATACGAGGTATGTCTTTGTGTGTTCAAACCATTGATTCACCTATCCACCTTGAACTTACAGCAAGGCACTCAGAACTGCGCCATTTTAGGTAACAAGGTTCAAGGTTCTTTATTGTCAAACTGACATAGCTACAGAGTAATTATGTTGTTGAAAATCTTATGTCACAGGCTTCTCCAACAATGCAACATAATAATAATACAGATAGTAAGAGTAATACAAAAGAAAAATAGTTATAAAATAAAGTGAGTATGTGGAATAGTGCAGTACGAGTCTATATACAAGTTATTGGAATGATATATATTAGATATTAGATATATATTACTGAGTAGCAGATGAATGTTTTGAAATTGTTTCAGCAGTTCAATTGTTTAACAGGTTTAACGGTTTGAATTGTGTTGATAAACAAAATCAACAAGGGCAGAGCAGCAACAGTAACCCCTTCATGCTTTTGTATGACCTTAAAGTGAAGAAGGGGAAATGTATTAATCTTAACCTCCCTCTTACTTTTGAGCAACAAAACAGCCAAGAAAGAGTTGGTGCAGGAGTCAGCGCAAGGTTCAACATTCTATTGACCTTGTCACGCAGGGGGATAGATATTTGAGAGAAAGAACTATTGTGAAGTATTTTAATGTTTGTGACTAATGCAGAATGTGTCACTGTCCCGGAACAGGCAGTGATGTTATTCACTGAGACAAGAGTAAAGACCTTCACATGCAGTGACACTTTTGATTCTTAATTCCCCGTATTCTCTTTGTTTGTTTCATATTGGCCTATTTACGGCTTGCTGAGGGCAAAGATTCACAATAAAAAAAATGTAAAGTGTATGAGCCATTGTTTACTTTTTCAAAAATGGTGCACATGTCAGCTTCCCTGCGGAACGGGGAGACGAGTGCTTTTACATCTGCCATTCTTCGATAAACACCACCAGCCTTGCGTCTTTGTATCCCTCCCTTTCTCCGTCTCTCTCTCTTTCCATCTCCCTCTCTGGTTTTTACTTTCCCTCTCCTTAAATGTGAGATGAGAGGAGGCAGCCAGGATAATTGGCCATGCGTCAGTTGGGCTGTTTGATCACGTAACACGGCGGAGGCTACACACCTACGTGCCGCTCAACAAACCGTCAAATGTAGCACCGGAGGCAGAACATGGCTCCAAAGGGAGCGGGGGACCCGTGCTGTGTAATGATGGTAAAATGGAGCAGTTTTGCCTGTGCTGGTTTTATGTGTGTGTGTGTTGGCGTGTGTGTGCGCGTGTGTGTATTTGTATGTGTGTTTGACTATCAGCTGCAACACCGCTTTGAGGGCTACAACTGGGATTACATTTTGTGTTGTTCATGTTTTAAGCCCCCCCCCCCCCCAAAAAAAGAGCTCAAGAACCAACATATCCACCACCCTAACGCCCATGGCTTCTTAAGAGCCAAAGCTTGAACATTAATGCATAATCTGCTTTCACACTTTACTGACTATACTGTATGCTACGCCCATAATTGTCAAGACAATTATGACAGTGGTGAAAGAAAAGTGATTCTATTTTCATAAGCATCCTATGACTCCTTAGATCTCCCCCTCCTTCCCTGCTGTGTTATTGTTTATTTCTGCAGTAGAGGCAGGCGGTAGGTATATTTTGATAAGAGCCATGCCTGGGAGACTGTGCCGGCTCCCAGGGGAGAGGCGCTGTCTGTAGCATCAGCCACTGTCAAACCACTGAACCATTTAACAGCGTTCACGGCGAGATCTGCCTCCTCTTTTAACCCCACCGACTCAAAGGCAGACTCTGACATTGTACCTCGACAGATGTGAAGGATCTCAGCCCTTTTTTTTGTTCATCTGCCCCCCCCCCCTTTTTTCTTTTACTCAATCTCTCCGGCGTCCACTTTTTTCCCTCCCCTTCTTTTCTTGTCTTTTCCCATTTTCCTGTAGTTTTCCGAGTGTAATGGGGTGAGCAGTGAGACTGGGGAGTGTGCTAGACAGGTTGGCTGGTCAGGAACAATACAAGCTTTAAACCTTACTAACACACCTCACTGAGTCTGCAGGGGAGTGGGTGGGCCAAATCTGTGTGTGTGTGTGTGTGTGTTTTTGTGGGCGTGTGTGTCCCGAATAGCGAAAATAAAGAAAAATACTGTATCTTACATTTTTCAGTGCCCTTTGCTCGACAGTGTTATATTAGGATAAAGGTTAATGGTAATCAGTTACAGTTCTAATACTTTTAAGCAATCATCCAAATGTTATAACTCAATACTGATTTTCTACGATTAACCATGGAGGCAATTACACACTTTTTTGTTCAACAATATAGCTTAATGCTTCTGAAACTAGTGAGGAGAATATAGCCTTTGGAAATGTTTTTTACCTCTTTCCTGATGTGTGTGTGTGGCTATGTGTGGTCATGTGTCTTTTCAATCACCTTTGAGGATGTGTGTGTGTGTGTGTGTGTGTGTGTGTGTGTGTGTGTGTGTGTGTGTGTGTGTGTGTGTGTGTGTGTGTGTGTGTGTGTGTGTGTGTGTGTGTGTGTGTGTGTGTGGTGTGTGTGTGTGTGTGTGTGTGTGTGGTGTGTGTGTGTGTGTGTGTGTGTGTGTGTGTGTGTGTGTGTGTGTGTGTGTGTGTGTGTGTGTGTGTGTGTGTGTGTGGCTATGTGTCATCATGTGTCTTTTCAATCACCTTTGAGGATGTGTCATGTGAACATGTCTGCCCATCTGTTTGTTTGTTTATGTGTGTGTGTGTGTGTGTGTGTGTGTGTGTGTTTGCACTAATTGCAGCCTTACTTAGAAAATTGTGTGATCAAAAGTCATTTAATCCCTCCCTTTTAAAAATGCATCATTAAATTACCATATGGCATCAGTAATGTTCATACATATGAATAGGAGATCTGTGTGTTGTTGGACATCAAAAGCTTTCATTCCAATTTCTCTGCATACACACATTTAATGTATTCCCTAACAATCGACCACAGGGGTGAAGATGAGGTTGTGAAGTTCTGTTTAAACTCTGTAACCCCATTCTGGTTGTGCTGATTTGAATTTTACTACTACTAATTTCCCCATATGAAGGTTGACAGCTCCCTATAGATAAAAAAAATTGAGTTCGAAACATGTATAGCAAGCACATTCACCCCTATTGCACCCCCTCCATCTTCGCCCTGTCTGGCTCTTTGAACTCTTTCTTAGTGAAAGCACAGCATCCTATTCAGCAGGGAGAGAGGTTCTGTAGTGACGCGAGATAGCTGTGCTGAGGCTCTGACTGGCATTGGAGGTGCTTGTGGGGATTGAGGCTGCTTGGGAATGGCGTTTGTTAATATTTATTAAGAGCAGCTTCTCACTAGATCATATCTCTGCCTGAGTTTATACACAGTCTGCCAGGAACGTGCATCAGCATGCTGCCATGTAATTATGGGCTATGTACTTGGTTTCTGTCTGTGTACATGGACATGTGTGATTGCGTGATGCTTCCAGTCTCTGAACGATTGGTTTTCATGAAGCTCTCTTCCTGTCCTTGTTGACAATGAGAGTCTTCTTTAAGGAACCACACAGAGCAAGTTGTTGTTTTCTGTGTTAGGGTTGTGTTAATGTGTGAGTGTGTTTCAGTGTTAATTTTCTCTAAATCATGGCACAAAATCGTATACAAATATGTTTTGTGGCCCTTGAGAATGTGTATTATGCTTCCCATCCCTCTACCCCTCCATTTCCTCAGAGTGGTCACAATGGCTTTTGTGTATCACTCTTGAAAAGCTCAAGGATATGAAAATGTTCCTGGCAGCTTCTATTGAGGAAGCACAGACAAAAATGGCTTGCTTATTGAGAGCAGCCAGCACTTCGTGTTGAAGAGTCAGTGTGATTCGCCAAGGGGTTGAAAACAATAATGCAAACAAGGGCACTGAACAAGTGGGTTTTAATGAAATGCTCCCATCAAGACAATACATTCGTCATGTTCTTTGTCTAGGCAGCTCTGCAAATCTTAACCCCTATCTCACTGTCTGTGGAATATTCACAAAAAAGATTCAGACACAACGTAAAAAATAATAAACATAAAGCATAGAAAAGTTAGCACTGCTTCACTGTCACAACTGAACACACCACCATCACTACTGCACCTCCTTCCTCGCAAGGAAACTTAATTGAGATATCAAATATGGCTACTTTCCCCTTATGGGAAGGGCAGGTGACCCCTGCTGTGGCCTGGTTGGACAGCACCCAGGGAAAGGGCCGCGAGAGACCAGGGCTTGTGTTCAAGTATGTGTGTGTGCATGTGTCAGTGTTTATTGGGGAGTCGCAGCAGGAGACTTCCCATAATAACGCTGTCTGAGTGAGCATTGGGCCGCAACTGACGAAGAGGACCCCAGCTGTCACAGGGCCTAGCGGGGGGCTACAGTGGAACACACACACACACACACACACACACACACACACACACACACACACACACACACACACACACACACACACACACACACACACACACACACACACACACACACAGAGAGATGAACCCCAATGCACCTGCAACCCTGCCTGACACACAATGAACACACAAAACGGCATGGATACACAGAGAACACAAGCACAAAACGAAACACACAGAAGTGTTTCAGAGCCATATCATTGCACCCCAAGTGCAGAGCCCCATGTGAAGAGGTGCAAAAATAAACAAATGCACATGATGGTAAACATATACAGTAAGGATTCAAGGAGAAAGAAGAGCCCACTACTGTGGCAGAGACTTTCAGGAGAGTTGTGTTGCGCTTTGTTGCTGCTTGCATGCCTGTATCACAACTTCTTTAACCGTTTTAATTGTGTGTAAATTGTTTAGTATTGAGCATAGACGACTAAGTTCAGGGATTTCCTTTTTGTATTTTTTATTACAAACATTTGTTTACGATTTTAATCTTCCAGAGTTCCACAAGGTTCAATATTTTGTCCCCTTCTATTCGGTATCGATATGCTTCTGTTTAAAGTGGAAGGGCTCCAATTTTGCAAATCAATGCCTTTTTACAGGTATAGAGTACAAACGTTATACAAAAGCCTTATTTGGCTCCTAAGGGAGATGTGCAAGGCCTGATAAAAGGCAGATGCGTGAGGCAATGAAGGTTGGTTCTTCTGTAGATCAGGTTGAATTTATATTGTTTAAGAAGTGCCAAAGCCCAAACACAGAAAGCTTGTTTTCATATATTCTCATGACTCACATGACAAGAAATGATAGGCCAGTAGGGTAGTGTGAGAGGAAAGGGGAAGACCGTCCCTCTGATCGGTCTCATTTACACTACACAGAGACAGAATGGGAGAAAGAGAGCAAATTGAGAGAGGGAGGGATGCTGTGCTGGAGAGAAATTAAATCAGTGGCCAAATTATTGCATGATTGCCCATTCCCCTAAGACTCGGGCATCATTTGGTAGAAAGTGTCTAATAATTGGTTTTCGGACATGTCAGACACATGCAATTCCCCCTACTAATGGCTCTGTTTGGAAGAACTGGGCCTCCTGGGTCAGAGAAGGACACAAAAAAGCCAGACGGCAAACAGCGTCTACTGCCATCTCCCTTTTTATTCTTCTCTCAGATAAATGAGTGAACAAGAGAGAAAAAGAGAGACACAGAGAAGTGGAGAGATAGCAAGAAGGAGAGAGTGTGTATGTGAGCGAAGAGGAAATGAAGTGGCAATAAGTGCAGCCAAAGGGGAAATGCTCTTCACCGTGAGTTTAATACATCAGACTGGGGATTTGGCAGCCCGCCACACAGCAATTGTTTACCTTTTTGCTCACTGGCTGCATCTGTTCTGTTTTGTAAACGGCACTAAACTATTCGCCCGTAAACACCGGAATCAATAACAACTGCTAAGGGAATTCCCTTATCCCGCCCCTCCCTCTCTTTCCCTCCCTCTCTTCCCCATGTTTTCATCCCTTACCACCACCCCTTTCCCTTCCCCTAGATCTCCTCCTCTCTCCCCCTCTCGCTCTGTTCACTGCCAGTCAAGAGCAGTGTGTGTGTTTGTGTGAGAGAGAGAGAGAGAGAGAGAGAGAGAGAAGAGAAAGAGAGAGAGAAAGAGAGAGAGAGAGGGTGCTGTGGAGCTTATGGTGTAACCCACAGGAGAGACTGACAAGGATAAGACTGATGGCTCGCCAAAAATACCTGCTCTGTTTGTTTGTTTTTCCTTCTGTGTTACATTGTTGTCATTGTTAAAAGCTACAAACTGAGACTGGCCACTGTAGACTAGCAGAGTTGGGTATTTTCAGACATTTCTTTTTACTATGTTCCTGCTCAATATGAAAAAATAAAGCCCCCCCCTTATCCACACACAGTTTCCAGTTTCAAAAATGTTGCTGAATGACATATGGCTTGACGTATGCTTGTTTTTCTTTTAGTGCCTATGATAAGATGCATACAACTTTTATGGTTATCACAGTAAACATTGATTTTCTTTTTCTTTATAAGAACACCATCACACTGTAATGTCATATGGGGAGCTCTTATATAAACACACTCATTTTACCCTGCTTTCAGCACCAGCTTTCAGCACCAGTCCTCCCTTATTGATTCTCAGTACATTGACCTTTGGTTGAACCCTTCTGCCTGTGAGTGCCCTTCCTCATTCTACTCTATGAGACATGTCATGCACTACGCTATATGACACACCTGGGTGCTTTTAAGCACACCCTCTCCATCAACCGGCTATGAGAGCCTCCATTTGGCCTCACTGTTGTGACAAAGGTATAATGAGGTTTAGATGGCTGTGTACTACACTGCTATGGCTATAGGGCTATTTGGCTAGGGAGTAGACTATAAATACCTATATAGCCTGGGCAGCATAGCTCAATGAGAGGCTGAGGCAGAGCATTGCTAAACATCAAGGTCATGTGCGACTACTTAGAGTGTGAGTTAGTGTGCATGTGAAACAGCCATTGGGTCACAGGTTGAGGGAATGAATGGTTACAAAGGAGAGAGGCAGAGATGATGCTCTGCAAAAAGGTGATTCTCCGGATGAAGTGCTGGTTAATGGTTACCCTACCCAGATTAATGCCCAGCGGAAGGTAGGATGGGGGGTTGTAGTGATAGCTTTTTAGAAAATCCACTAGCTCTTTCTCGAATGTGTTTCAAGTCTGATCCGGTTTAGATTGTTTACTCCTGAGTTGGTGACAGCTTTTATTTTGCCCCACGCTGCAGCACGGAAAGCTGTGTTGATTTGCTGGTGACTTCAGAAATAGACCTGATTGTTGGTGCGTGCATGAATGTGCAAGCTGGAGAACGAGGCTGGCACGTGGGTGTCAGCTAGGTCACACATATACACATGCAGAACGAGGTAGTCTCAGACTCCCACTGGACCCCATTACAGCGGAGCTGCTGAGCTGCAGATTCATGCAGCTTAATCACACATGCACACACACACACATACACACACACATACACACGCACACAGTCTTACACACACCAAATAATCACACAGCTATTCTCATGTGATTTCATACATGCATGCACACACACTTGCACATAAATACATGTATACACTTTCACTTGCAAACACAAACAACTTGAGGTCAGAATATATTCCATGGTGACCACAGAGTCTGGCAATTATCCTGCAAGACTGACATGTGCAAATGTGTGTGAAAGTGTCTTCTACAAATCAAGTTACTCATAATGACCTGAATTACATGCACATAAACACACCCTGCCTACACAAACACACAACAACTCATCGAATCTCACTCATGTAAACAAACACACATGCCTACACATAGAGAGATTCAAACCTCATGCATGATTAAACCCGGCATCCTTGGGGACAGTGTGTGTCATATTGTCAGAATTTGTTAAACAATATAGCAAAATTACATCAGGATCCAGAGGCAATAATGTAACAATTATTGGAATAGGCCCCCCTCTTCTTTCTTTCCTTCCCAACGCTCAATCAACTCAGTGCTTTCAGAGTCGAGGCTAATACTGAGCTCATCCATTCCCCAATGCCTTTGCAGTGGAGGAGCTCATTTAAGCGGACACACAAAAGTATTTGTGCATGTGTCTGGGAGTATGGCAACGCATCTCCCAGCCGCCCATTCTCCAGCTTAATGCGGAACATCCCCCGGGTGATGGCTTTGGCAGCCTCCAAAATGGGAAATCCATATTTGCCGAGGGGTCATCGGCGGGTTAGGGGGAGAAAAGTTTTGTGCCGAGAGAAAAGGATGTGCATGTGTGACTTCTCGGGGAGCAAAGTTTTGCATATTTTCGCTGTCGCTTTGTTTATGCCGTGTATTGGGAAAACATGAATGGGTCGATATTTATAAGAGGTGCCGTGCAAGGCAAGACATGGGGGGGGGGGGAGTGTTTTCTGATGAGTGCATGTCGAATGGGAGGTTGGGTTGAAAACCTAGTTTCATGAAATAGTTTATTCCTTTACCAAACTGTAAACTGTAGTGCAGCGCTCACTTTCTCTCTCTGTCAGTCATACATTCAACAAGCATAGCAATGTTTATTTTCTTCTTCTTTTCTCTTATACAACCCCCCCCGCCCATTTAACAGCACCAATGGAGCTTCCCATGAAAAGCAGGAGCTTCAGTTTAACCTCCCACCAGTTGAAGGCGTTGACCCACCTGGCCTGCACCCTGCTGGGGTTTGAGAGGACGGTGATGGAGCTCGTCACTAATTTGACCTTCATTGACTGCACAGGAGAGACTCCCTCTGTGAAAGGTATGACTCATTTCCCCAAAATACACACATATTTTTGTACTGTACATATTAAAAATGTAAGGGCTGCAAATATCACTGTAGTAAACTGAGATTCAGGTTTTTATTTAAATACAGGCAGACACTTTAAGGCTGATACAATACTTTTTAGATGAAATATGCTTCAAATTAAATGTAAAAGCCGTACAAATCTTACAATATATACCTCCAGTGTTTGTTTATGTGTAACAATGAGAAGAAGGTTCTAGAGCATTATTACATGCATCAAGTATTGAGTTGGATTTTGCTGAAATTTAAAAAACAACACTAAATAAATTGTAATTTAGATTTTTCTTTGATTATTATAGTTATTTTGTTTATTTTTTTGTGGGGTTGAATGGGGACTTGCACTCATGGAATTAGTATTACTAAAACTCAGGCTACAGCCCAACGTGTGCCTCTCCTCCAGGCATCAATAGTCCAACTACACACCGACACACGCACACACAATTACAAATCCACACATTGTTACATGTTTAACGGGAAGTCTTAGTTGTTTCTGAAGAACATTTTATTTTAGTGAGGAATTGTCTCGGGTATTATATAAGCCCTTAGTATCCTTTCCCTCTCTCCCCTTTGAACTGCCGCTGTAGAGATGTTAAATGAAAGCTTTTGGTGCATGGAGTAATTTCCATAAAGGTTACATTTACAAAAACAAGACTTGCAGAAAGGCTCAATTTACAGAGAGGTAAACAGCCTTTAAAGGGCAGTTATCCAAATCATTAATTCCAGGCAATCAAACGGCTTAATTACCAGAAATTCATCAGATGGGCTTAAAGGTCAAAAAGTGATGCGCTTGCTGCTTCCTCCTTCTTCCATTCCACACGGTCTTGTTCGGCTAAATTGCCTCGCCTGGGGTCTCACTCTTCGCCTTCTGATTAGGAAATTGAGGCCTTGATGTTCACGCTTTTTAATTGCACCCCAATTCAACATCCTGTATGCTTGTCTTCACGTCACCCCCCTCTACATTCCCCCGTCTCCCCGCACATCCACACAATCTCCCCTCAAGGAATTACCCCATATGTGGTTGATGCTATCTGGGTTCAAATCAAATCTAAGCCCCAAATTTAGACTCGTAAAGCCGTCGCCATTAGCATTTACTGCCTTTTCTGTTCCCTCTGAGGCATTTACAGTCATACTCCGGTCAATGTCTCAATTGGCTAGTGGGGGAAAGATGGGAGCAATGCGACCCATATCTGGCTTTGAGTTATATACAGTTGCTTTCATTGTGTGTGACTGCAGTCGGCATCCAGTCAGGCCTTTAACACAATATGATACAGTAAACCATTTGTGGAATTGAAATATTTATACTAAATAATGCATATATTTGAAAGATGCTTCAAAATGCCACATTGCTTTTTATCTATAATTGAGTTTCTGTATCATTATTGCTCCCTTTTTAAAATGTCACTGACTTGATTTGAGAGCTTGACCATACACAGCAGCTGTTTAATACCTTTTAAGACTTATTACATAATGTTTTCATTTAAAACATGTATTGGTCATTCAGGCATCTTGAAAAGGAATCGAGAGGATTTGGACATGACACCAGACTGCAAGAAATCCACAGCAGAAACACTAATCCACACGCCAGAGGTAAGACTTGTTCATTTCTCCTTTGACATATTTTCTATTTCATTCTTTTCAGCATTAAGACATTAATTGGCTGTTTTGCTGATCTCCTATTTTGCAGGCACAGGTTTTGGAGTTTGACTGGAGGTCAGCATTTAAGGGGCTGGTCCCTCACATGGCACATTGTGTTAAAGTGGTCCTGGATGAGGTTTGTTTCAGAAGTCTAAAGCAAGAGGAGGACTTCTATTCTTCAGGACAAACCTCAATCCCCTTGAGCCGCACAAGAGGACACACTGCCATCTCTGCCGGAAACACACATCTCAGAGAAGATTCCTTCTACACCTACTCAGAGAGAGAGACTCCTATGATGACAGCAAAGGTATTTCTGGATTAAGATAGAAAAGATTGTCAATGTTGATTGGCTTAGGTTACATATCTGACAATTAATTGTAAGTAGTTGTTACTCTTTTAAAGATGTGTCTGTGATGAATAGACTTTAGTTGTACTCAATGTGGGTCAACATCATTCAGGTCTGTAGATGGGTTGTAGCCTTCAACGAGGATCATCTTGCAAGTTACTTTGAAAAAGGAGGTTGTAAAAAACATCTTGACCTCACCTTTTTGTTAACTCCTAATAGTATGATCTATAATCCTAGTAGGAGGTAAATAAAAACACTACACAGTATTGGATTGTGCCAACAATACCTGATTTACAGGTTTAAAGGTACGATCAATAAAGTTGTATAAAAAATTCAAATCATAAACCACCAAAATGAATTGATATACCTTACATCTAAGGACAGAGGGTCCAATATGCTGTCGAGATTATAGAGACCATAGAGGTAAACTAGTTATTTGTGATATTATAATAAAAGTGTGCTTAAAGCATTTATTTTCAACACTGTGCCCAAAGGCAGTATAGCATGCCCAAAGATGCTTTACTGAAGCTGACACACTGAACTGTAAATGGCCAACAGCACAGCTCAAAGTTAAAAAAGTCTGTAGCCTGGAGAGCAATTGTAAACACACGCGCACACACATGCAATCAAACAAACACTCACACATATAACAGGATTAATACAAAGGCACTTGTGTGAACAATTAACCGACCCTGACTTGTCAGTCCTCAGCCTGTGCATGAACATGTTGTGCCATACATACCGGTATCTCCTTTATTACTTTCTGGCTGAACAATGTAAGTCTACACATCATCCTGACCCAGGGAGATTAATGTTTTTTGTAGCCCCAGAGGAAAGCACCCTCTACAATAGAGAGCCCAAAGGATTTGGGCCTGACTCAGTTGACACCTTGGATCAGAGAGGGCCTTGGAAATACTCAGTATTACTTGAAGAGAGGACTCTGGGGACAAAAGAGAGCCAGGAGGAAACCAATAAGCACTATGGCTGATATTATAAGGGCTTGATGGTGTGTAGAGACAGTCGTTGAGTCGGGGAAAGTATAGCGTACATAGAGGATAGAGGGATGTATCACAAAGGCAAAGAGGCTAGGGTAGAGAGCAGGATAACGATGGGATAGTTTGAGAAAAGAGATAAGAAGAGAGGGCCTGGGAAATGGCAGAGAGGTGAAGTGGCCAGCAGAGATTGACTTTTCTCAGGAGGAAGACTTGTGTCTGATTTGAGACAAGGCTTAGTATCCAACTCTACAAAGGTTCTCCAATGTTGCGAGATTAACCGGCATTTACTTACTTCCATTTAAAATGACACTGTGCTGTTTTTTCTTAATTATAGTCCTCATGAAACTCCCTGAAACCTTCTACAACTGTCATTCCTCTAATACCTCTGCTACACTGCACACTGTGCAGACTTTTATCAAACTGCCTCACCTTTAATCTCTCCTCCTCCTCTTCCTCCTCCTCCCCTCCCCCTCTCCCCTAGCCTTTTTACACTGACAGTATTCGTGGTTCTCATTGGTAACGAGTGTCAGAATTTGTCTGTGCTCAGGACCTGTACAACGTATTAATGTGTAGGTCAACGCTTCAAATATGAGAGCCTTTCAGCCAAAAGGTTATACATGCATGCATTTGCATTCAATAACACGGAGCTAGACAGATATTATATATATATTTGTACCCCCCCTTCCTTTTTTGACATATGCCCTAGTGTTTGAGCAGAGAGCAAATTACTGTACGAGACATAAGCATGAAATATGGCAGGTTCAAAGGCATTATGATGGATCAATATTCCACACATTTATATTCATATGTTCATACCCCAATCCACGCTCCTTTTCATTTGAACCCTCTTCACTGTCTGCATTACCATACATATGCAGGCTCTGATGATACTGTTCATCCATCAGAGTACTTTAGATGGTGTACTTTTTTATTGGCAGTCAGTTGTGTGTTGAATGCCAAATACACTCTGTTGAACAGCTTGAACTTGCCCTCTGTGAGAACCTGGGATTGAACTATCCTTGTTTGGGTAGGCCCTTCTAAACTAAATGCTACCTCTCTATTATAGCAACAGAAGTACCTTTTCTGTACTCACACTTCACTGACGCCCTCACCTGCATGTTGAGTTCTACACTAGTCTGCCTACTCCAAATTATAGACACACAGAAAAAGGCCTCCCTGCACTTAAAAACTTTATACAATCTTTCACCTTGCTGCAATGGTCCTGGTGGGATTCTGGGCTTTGATCTTAGCTAAGATTTCAGTCTGACTTCAGTGTGGATGCATGTGTGGTTGTTTCCTGTGCGAGTCTGCATGTGAGGATAAATGTCTGCTCAGTGTGTGTGTTCGTGCCAATACTGTATGTGTATGAGATGCTTCTCCATGGCCTCTCCATCACCCTGGTAATGCTGAGTGTGTGCCTCTGCTTTCTCTCTCTCAAAGCTAAGCTCCTAATGACTACATACAGCCAGATATTGACTTAATTGTCTAAATGGCCATTGTTACCAGGCCTTTTAACCCCACTGGAAGCTTTTTAAGGAGGAAAGTGTGTAAAGAGATTGTGAAATTGTCAATTGTGTACACATGCTGGAGCCCTGATCTGACAGAATGTCGATCTTCCCAGTCAGCTCCTATAGTAGGTCTAGTAATAGAGTGCGTGACTCTAGATACAAGTAACACATGCTATGATTGATTGATTGATTAAACTGGCATGGACTTTTCTGAGTTATGGTGATTTTTTTCCCTTCAGTGTGACCTCTCCTGGTAGCTCTGAATATGTGACATGTGCTTTCTTTTAAGTTTTTTTTAAGAATCAGCCTGACCCATAACTCAAATGTATTGGTGTGTACATTTGGAGGTGAACCCACATACATATGTGACTCCATGGCACTTGCTTTCTCGTCTTTCACTGTTCACTCAATGTGATGTCAATAAGAAGCACATGAGGTCATTCTCTGCAGAAGTAGAGGTACATAACATGTTTTTTTACATTTAAAACACTACTGTATATGCAAACCATGCACATATTTTGTGCATGACTTAGCAACCAACCCTCTCTCTCTCACACACACACACACACACACACACACACACACACACACACACACACACACACACACGAGAAGAAGAATAGACTAGCATCAATATAGCAGTATTTAAAGCTTGCTGATCCACCATTTGCTTTCTTATAATGATCATTTTTCATTTTTTAGATACTACTGTAGCTAAATCCCAGACTGCTTATCTGTGTCTCAGCAAGAAAAAAAGCATGACTATTTTAAAGCGCCTAGATCAGCCAGTCTCCCAGCCTCTGGAGAAGGGAAGGTGTAGGCAGCGCTGTTCCCAAAGGGGCTTTCTCCAGGACAAATGTGGATAAATGAGATAGGTCTTGGTTGTTTCTGTGGCAGTTTTAAAAAAGCTGTAGTTCTTATACATCACTGAAACAGCCCTTTCCGTTCCTCTTACTCACTCTTACGTCTGCCTGACCTTTTCTGTTCTTTCTTCTCAGCACGTCTGACTCCCCACCTCCTCATATGTGCTGTAACAATTCAGTTTGAATGTGGTTAACATGATGTGTGCTGTTATAAAATTAGACAAGAGCTGATGTTCTCTCAGAAGCGAAGGTTTTATTTGACCTGATACCAATTATGCATGTTCAGCAGCAAAGTTTGCGTGGAGGGCAAGTCTTCTGACATCTGTATTCTACATTTGCACTGATGTTTGCTTTTCAGCTGTAATGCCTTGCGCAATGTTAGAGAAATATGCATGTGTAATACTCAGCTCAGTCTTGTCATTCAGAGGAGTCCTCACAAATGTTCTATTATTTATATATAATGAGATTGCTTTTTGATGTTTCTTTTCAGTTTTTCCTTTTACTGACATATCTCCCCTCTGTTATTGAGATCATCTTGTCTCATCTTTGCCTTCCTTTCCCCCTCAGTTTTGTGGAGCGATCATGACTGAGATGGATGCCTTACTACCCTTGGCAGCAGCCTGCAGAGACAGCTCTCTCCTTGAGGTGCGATCAAGCTTTGTAGAAGCGTGTAGCAGGGCAGTGTTTGCCTTGCTAGGCCGTTTGCAGGAGAGGGCCCTGGAGGTACCATCCTCCGCACCCCTGAGGAACCTTCCTGCTCTGCTGGCCACTTGCATTTATGTGCAGCAACGACTGGAGCACTACCATGCCAGGCTGAAAGATTCTAATTCTACTGCGGCTAAAGTGTAAGGAGAGGGTGTTTGCAGGTGTTGATATAATGTCTTTGTGAGTGATCTTGATTGCGTGCACTAATCAAAACAAACATGGAGATGAGCCCTGTTGTTGGAAAAAAGTAGGATTCACCTATACATACATTTTTACAAAAACTTTAGACAGCATAAAGCTATGTAAAAATAATCAGAAATGTTTTGTTTTCAACATAACCCATTACCTCATCTATATCATGCCTAATCAGTTCAAAGCTTCTGTCAACGGCCTGCTCAACAGATAATAAACAGAATTGCAGAAAACAGAAGTAACATTTTGAAACTGTACATTTGAGATCAAGAGGAGTGGACCAGAGAGTAAGAAAGGAGTAGAAATGATTGACAGGAGTTAATGACACCCATATTGTGTCTACATCTGGTGAGTTTTTATGCCCCGTAATACCCCTTTAACCTCTGCTCTCCACACATCCCCCCTAAAGACATCCCCGGTGCCCTCGGTGCTCCTGTTGTCCCACCTTTGGCCCCTTGCACCCCTCCACCTGCACTTGCACCGTGCTCCCTCCGGTCATAAAGTACTTCCCTCTCTCTACACCATCCAGTCCCCCTGGTTTTAAGCCTCCTGCACCCCTGTTAAACTCCTGCCAGTCTGGAAAGTATAAAGGCAGGCAGATTTAAAGGATATGAAATGTCACACTGAACTTTTAGAATAAATCATAATTTCTTTGAAATATTCATTTCACATCATGTTTGTTTGATAGCTTGCTGAATATACAGCAGTCAATTATGCATCTGGATCACAGAATGTGCTCTGTGGATTTTCATACCATCGGTCCCTTTCTTCTTTCATATGATGCCATATGTAGTATAGATAATGTATTGTGATGTAATTACCTTTAAAGGTTTGTTTCTTTCCTCTATGCCTAGACCCCTGACCCTGCTGCCTATTCAGAAGTACAAAGAGACAGCGGAGGCCTTCAGGGAGCAGCTGACCAGTTACTGTATCCAGATTTGTTCCACCTGCATTTTTCAAGACGCAGAGAGTCACCACTGGGCTGACCCCCAACCTTTCCACGAGGTAAAGGGTCCCCACATTTCCCGAACATGTGTCTGGTTCAAATGTATTTCCCCCCAAAGACAACTAAAAAAAAATACATAACCACACCTCTTACATGATAAAGATTTTAAAACGATTTAACTGTCTTCCTATACTTAAGTCTTCTGGTATTTTAAATGTTCTCCCTATTTGAGAGTTAAATATTTACCTCAAAATAAAAAAAGACATATGTGAGACATATGATGTGCAGTATTGTCATTCCCGTAATTGTCAAAAGTGGAAATTCCAGTGCCACTTGTCTTGGTAGGCTTGTTCTGTAGATGTTGAGGAACTCTAGGAATTATACTCTGGAGCTTTCTCTCTTATGCTTTTCATTCCCACAATACACCTTTACCTCCCACTCTCCCTCTTCTAACCAAGCCTTCTACTCTGAGCTCCCTGAGAACATCTGTGGCTTCCATGCTGCCCCGGGGGCTCCTGGGATTCGACTGTCTGAAGTCTGCAGTCTACACTGGGACTGTCTGGAAACAGCATAGGGCCTCTGAAACTCCCCTACCTTTATGCCCTTAAACCAATCTAAACCTCCTCTCTCTTTCATACTTTACCCTGCTTTTGCCTATTTCCCCCTTTGTTCCTCCTTCCTTCCCTGGGTCACTGGTGTCAGACAGACCTGCTGTGCGCAGGTGTGTGCTTCTCTTCAAGCATGCCCATGTGCATCTGTACAGATGAATGCATGTGTGAGTGTGCAGCAGCATCTAAGAATGTGCGTTTCATTTGGTGTGTGTGTGTGTGTGTGTGTGTGTGTGTGTGTGTGTGTGTGTGTGTGTGTGTGTGTGTGTGTGTGTGTGTGTGTGTGTTGTGTGTGTGTGTGTGTGTGTGTGTGTGTGTGTGTGTGTGTGTGTGTGTGTGTGTGTGTGTGTGTGGTGTGTGTGTGTGTGTGTGTGTGTGTGTGTGTGTGTGTGTGTGGTGTGTTTGTGTGTGTGTGTGTGTGTGTGTGTGTGTGTGTGTGTGTGTGTGTGTGTGTGTGTCTGTGTCTGTTTCCATATCTAGTATGTATATGTAGTTCTATGCACCAGGATTCAATCTTCTGGATTCCTGGCCATGTTTCTCATCTCTCGTAGAGCTCAGTGCAGCTCCTGAGAGACCCTTCTTTTACTTTGTTTTCGTTATTTTACATTTAATGGACACATTGTGGTTGGATATTCCTATGGTATAATAACAGGAACAAGGTCAGTTAAGGTGATCAAAGGAAGTTCAGAGCATTATTTTTGCTTCCTTCCTTTGCAGGATTTTTCCTTCAGAGCATACCGAGCCAATTGAGAGAATACAAAAAACTGCTATGAGTTTCCAATTTGACTCCATCCTCAGTTTTCTGTCCCAGATACAGTCGTCAGTGCTGCCAGGCCATCATCTTTAACAGGAATTTGTTCATAGTTGACCTGGCTGGTTAAATAAGGTTTGACTTGAGTGAAGGGATTAAACAGTCAAACCCCACATGTAGTTGTGGCTGCTCTTGGTTGGGATCCAACGTCTGTGTCTGCGTTTGCTCTGCTGAGTCCACAGGCGTAGGATGGCGGCCTAATCCCGGACATAGCGCTCGGTCACGCTCCCCATCAACCACCAATCCCTAAATGACTGGCTCCGGGGAAGAGAGGAAGGGAAATAAATGAGAGAAGGAAAATACGAGATAGATGAGGTGAAGTGGCAGGAAAATGAGAATTGACTGTGGGGAATGATGAGTTTGAAGACGTGAGGAAGTTTTGGATGTGTAAATATCTCCGCCACACACGCGCCTTCCTCTGGAAAAGTTTATTTTTGAAGGTTAAAAAGTCAAAGTAGGCGGTTTAATGAATGAATTATTCTATATATTTTTGCAAAGAGCTGCAGGATAAGAATCTATTTTCCTCCATCTGTCCTCCCCCTCTCTGTCTGTCTTTCTTTAGTCTCAATCTCAGTTTGCAGAGAAGTTCTCGATTTCTCCCCTTCACTCTTTCTCTCGCTGTACATTTGAGCGTGTATGTGCGTGCAAGTGTGTGCCTGTAGTGATGTGTTCTCCAGTTCAGGACTTTAAAGCAGTCTAAAATCCCAGTGGGGGAAGAAACCCAGGTGCAGAGTGCAGGTGGCGTGACCACTGAGACATCCTGGTGTTGACAGACCTGCCTCTGTCTCCCTGTCTCTTTCTTCCCCTTCATGTTTTCTCTCTCACTCTCTCTTTCTCCCATATATATCTCCTTTCGCCTCTTGGTTTTCTCTGTTTTTCTTCACTGCCAATATCCATATCTCAATATATCTTCATCATGTGTAACCCCCCACCATCCCCTCCTTGCCATCCACCTCTTTCTTCCACAGGGTGAGCGCTGTTCCTTCTCGGTGCAGATGTGGTTCTACTTCCTGTGTGGGCTCCGTAGCGACTTGTGGACGATTCTCCCGGCAGAGATGGCCAAGGAGGTGCTGGGACAGGTGCTGTCAGAGACTTTACAGCTGCTGGTGCAAAGATATGCCAGGGCCCGTCCATCGTACAAGAGACACCTGCAAATCAGGTACTCATCACGTGCCATACTGTCCGAGGTTATTTTCAAGTGAGATTTCTTGTCACTTTTTGTAATATAAAAGGGGGGGTTACCTTGGTTGGTTATTGGCTAATGGTTACACAAGCCAACACATAGTTATGACATCATAAAGTGGCCAAAATCTGATCAGCTCATTTTCAGACAGGTTTTTATATAAATGGATCAGGACAAAAGTGAGCGAATCTTTTTTCCTGAAACTTTCAGAATCTCTTTACAAAGAGGGGACACATGTTGATGTATAAAATACATGAAAAAGTGGATTTTGCATAATAGGTGACCTTTAAGGCCACTATAATAATATACATAAAAAGTAATATACTTTATATTCTTTAAAAAACTGTTTCTTAATTTAATTTCTGAAATATGTATGTACAAGTTTCATTTTCACAATATGGAAGAATTACCCTCTGCAGAGCCCACACATAATGGGATGATAATGAAGAAAAAAACCTCACCACAAGTTATGTTAGCGTTAGCTTTATGGACTTCTTGTTCATGATGGCTTAACAACTGAGGTTCGTTGTTTATTTCTGACCTTCTGACATTTTAATCTCAGCTTTCAACAAACCTGGGCCAGAGGTGCTTGTATCTCAATAACTCATTGCAAGGTCAAGATTGAATTTCTAACCCCAGGAATTATATTTTATTTCTATCACAATTCAATAATTTGTTGTTTTGCTGATAATTATAAATGACTTTTGATTGTATGTGTGACATCTTCTTGAACTACCTCTCTTACATATGTATTTGTATATCCAACATGAATGGTATATACTGCACAATATATAGAAATGGCTATGAATTATGCTATCCTAAACTTCACCAGAACCATAGACAAAGCCCTACATTTCTCTCTCACTGTTGGCCCCTCAACTCCTGGGGGTCTTGTGGCGGAGGTGGTCTGACGTTGTGTTAGCATGTCATAGACACACTCTCTGTACAGGCTCAGGGGTCATCTTCTCCATCCTCTTTCTACTCTTAGTAGCTGAAAAATGACAATGAACAGGCTAATATGTGACACACAGCAAGAGGATGAGGAGAATGACAGAATGAAGTGCATTTTACATGTGTAGCACCACAGGATGTCAACAAAAAGGCTGGTTTATGTTGCTTGGGGATGCATGTGTTTCTGGAGGGACAGTTGTAAAGTGTAAGGCTAGCCTAAACATATGGCTTTTCAAAGCTTTTACAAGTTATCTATGTATATAACACTCACATGGGTACTCTTATGCTACCTCATTCCTCTTGTATCAGTCCATCTGTGTGTGTGTCTTACGATTCAGGCCATAGGAGGAGCATGAATGAAGAGATGAGAGATGATGAGCAGCTTTCCCCAATTTAGGAAACGGATTTAGGGATGTATAAATGTAAAAGCCATGACTTTTATTGTGAAATCCAAATCCATTAGTACACTGACTTTAAATAACAGTTCAATCCCATTGGGGTTCTGTTATCTGACGGGCTGTACTATGAGGCTAATATGTCATGATAAATGGTGGATTCAGCCTTTGAAGACAGAAATGTTTGCATTCAGTTCTATTTCTCTCTCTTCATGTGTTCCCTCTGATCTTATTCTTTTTCATCCATACATTTCCCTTTTCTGTTTCCCTACTCGGTGTCTAAGATGTGACATTACAGCAGTATTGCTGTATGTGGAGCAGCTTATGTGGAGTGTGTGTAAGAGTCCCGAGGCCTTGTGGCGCTCCAATCCTTCTTCAGCAATTGCCATAATAGCGGGCGGATCAGACTGGCCATACCAAATCCACAGCCTGTGTGAGCAACTCCTGACAGTCCTTGTCATTGTGACTGCACCGCTTTCTTTGCTGTATAGGTGGGTATACATTGTTATATTTGGGTAATTCAGCCTTGAAAACGACGCGCATAATTATTATTTAATATTAATCTATTGAATAGAGGTAGTTGCCTTTTGAATCTTATGTCCTAATGGACCTTACATTTAGCCCTACATTTGCCTTAACATAAGTGGGCAACCAAATATGTAAAATACAAAAATACTATGCTTTAACCAGGATATGTTTTTTTTTAATGAAATCATTCCCTGAAGAAGTATGACCACCAACATGTTTTGTAAATTGAAGATGTCACAATTGCCATTTGTGATCTCAATTTCTTCTAGGATGTTGATGAATAATCCTGGGAAAGAGTCCAAGCCTCAGCATGACAGCCCTGTTGTCCTTTGGCTAAACGCTATCAACCCTGACCTCTTCACAGAGCAGGCCATACGGTATGTAAAATACATACAGTAGGTTCACATTAGCATGTTCACACACAAACTCACTCGCATGCTCTGGTATTTCTTAGCCATCACACACACCTCCACCCACTGTATTGAGAACCATATGTGTGTGTGAGAGTTATAGCCGCATACTATATCTGTGGATATATAACCAGACTTACCCGTGGCCCAGGCCTTCAAGCAAGAGTTGCTGTGGTAATGTAACACAGATGCAAGCTGGGAAAGAACAAAATAATAAATAAACTACCGTAGCCGTTGACACTGATTTTGTTTATGTTGATGGTTGCTGAGGGCTTTACACATGAGGCGTCAACAGAGCACAGTGTGATGTGTGCATGAATGTGTACATGCATGCATACATGTGTGTCCAGTTACTGTTATGACCTCCAAGGTGCAGTCAATCACTCTCCCCCCTCACCCCTAACTCCACCTCCTCCCCTCTCATCTCCCCAATGCCAGAGGTGATGTCATTGCGTGCTGATGGAGCACAAATCAAACTAACCTCAGTTCTCCTGCTCCTAAGTATTGGAGAGCTGAAATTAGTTTATTTTTATGACCTCTTATTTCTTTGCTCCAACCTCCTGCCTGCATGCGAAGGCGCCAGGGGGCCTGCCTGTGGCTTGGGGCCAAATCCACAGGTCCTCATCCAGGACTCTGCCTCTGCGGCCAGATCTCTCTCCAGCCTATTAGAATAAAACACATTGTTATGGTTATTAAATAAAACAATAATAAAATCTCAAAGCACATAAATAAGTTATCCAGCATTACAAGCGGAAAAAAAATCTTCTGAAGTCATGTATTCTGGCCTTATCATTTGTTACACACATTTAGGCGTTGCATTTTTTTTCTGTGTGTGTGTGTGTGTGTGTGTGTGTGTGTGTGGGTGTGTGGGTGTGTGGGTGTGTGTTTTGTAAGCTGACCCTGCGCTGTAGCTGGCTAGATTTATCAGAGCAGTTAAAAGAGGATTTCTTCTGGATTTGCGGTCCTAGTGACATCATAAATTGCACTGTCAGATTTAGGCATAGTTTTCCTCAGTCAAGCAGCAGGGTGCACCCTGCTCTAGCTTTCTGGCTCAAATGGAATGGTTAATTCTGGGCTGACACCCCCTGAACCACCTCCCGCCTCCTCGCTCTTTAGACAAACTCTGTCCATTCCTACCATTAGATTTTATTGAGATGTATAAAGTAATATGGAGGCACACACATGTCAGCATGCCCTCACACTTGCACACGTACACAACCACAAGCACAGGCTCTGAAGGGTACACACACACACACACACACACACACACACACACACACACACACACACACACACACACACACACACACACACACACACACACACACACACTCACCAAGGATACGGCTCATTACCCACAGCTGGCTGCAGCCTCTTGGTTATACAAAAGATGTAGGAGGGGGGTACTGCTGTATATTCATGTATTTGGCTGTCTCCCAAATGTTAATTTGGTTTTAGCTGGCCAAGATTAGAGCTAATTCCTTCCCGGTGCACGCTATAAGTAAGCGAGAGTGAAGGCATTTGCAGACTTATATCAGGAGTGAGTGACACTGAAGGAAGTTACCATTGTAGCATAAACAGAATTTCTTCCCAGATTGTCATCAAAGGCAACTGTGATTTCAGTCTCTGTCTTTCACTTGTGAAGCTTTTTCCCTCCTTTGTTGTCTCTTGCAAAATGTACTGCTTTCTGAACACTCACCTGACACTGCAGAACTGTCAACTTTGTTTTCCTTTTTCCCACTCTCAGAGATGGCCTCGTGGGCCAGGCGGCCTCTCTGTGTCAGCTGAGGCTGCTGACCTCTGACCCAGGACACAATCCCAGGTTGCTTCTGCGAATGCTGCTGTACAGAGACTGTCACCTGCCCACAATACTCCTGGAGAACTCTTGTAAGTCTGTTTTTTATTATATAGGAATGTGTCTGCATAAATGGATCAAGTGCAACGTGTGTGTGCAGTACATGCTTAGCTTTCAGGCACTTTCGTTAATTATTTGATATTTCCATTTTTATAATACTGGACCACAGAGTCAATCCCCCAGCGGGCATGAGTGGGATGGTGTTTACCGGTGTCTTAATTATGGTGCTCTAAGAGCCTAAACGAGTTTTACAGACCCTAGATGAGCTCTATCCATTTTATGAAGTTATCATCAGCATCTTTGTCATCATCATCATTTTCACCTTGGTCACCATCATCACTAAATCAATAGAGAGTAGTAATAAACACTCAACAGGCCCAGGCGGAGCACACACGCTGACCTTTAAAGATTTTCCCTTCCTTCTTCTCCCCTCCACACTGGCAACAGTCTAACCTTTAAAGACTGTTGTGCACTCGCACATTAATTCACATTATAGCGACCTCATTAATAACAACTCTCACTGTCTCGTTCTCTTGCTCGGTCTGAGTCTGGCTCAGAGTCTCTGCAATGCTTCTCCCCGCACGCTGCCGTAAATCAACGCTGGAAGCGCTGACTCTCGCGTGTTATCACGGTGACGGGCTAATTAACCAGGAAGCAGACAGACAGAAGAAACAGCTTGACTGAACGCCTACACTCCAATAAGCCACTTCCCCATACTGTACATGTATATAATGGGTTCTTTCTTGGTGCTCTATTGATATGAATATGTGTAACTCACTAATAGATGATAATTCAGTGAGTCACAAATGACCTTAATTGGACTCTACTACTTCCAGTTTATTTAGTGCGTTACAGAACTTGTTAAGGTCAGCCGCAGATTGAACAGGACAGTATTATTGACACTTTGTTTAGTTGACAGCACTTTTTGAACAGTGTGGTTGCTCTGTTAATACAAAGATCTGCCTTATCAAAGCATACTTACTTGCTAGAGAGCTAACAAGCTGGCTAAGTGACCCCCCTCTGTCTCATAATGAAATTGTAAGTATTTGCAAAATGATAATTACTCCTCCACATCAACAGTACACAACAAGTATTTTGCTAAATCAGATGATACAACATTGTGCACAGAGACACACTATCACACACACACACCGCCTTTTTATAATCATCAGCATGTCTGCTTCCAATTACAGAGGTTTGCAGAGAGGGCCCTTGTGACTGGTTGACTGGTTGTCCGGAAGATAAACAGGTGTATGTCTTGGCTATGTATCAAGGTTGGATAAGCTTTGAGACAGAGAGGGAGGGAAAGAGAGCAAGGAAAAATAAAAAAAGGAACCGAGAAATCGACACAGAAACACCAACAAAAAGCAGAGTTAGTGTGTGCTGCATACATGGTGTATACTCCGAGATGTGCCAGCGCACTGTCATCAGTTCTTTAAGTCATCTTCTGCTCCATAATAGGATCATTACTGAAATGCCCCTAGTTAACATGCCATGCTCTCAAACACCCCAAGTGTACATTTATGTTAGTCACCCCTGTTTCCTTGGAGCATTGTAGCCACACCAGTGACATCATGAACACTTTTTTCCTTGAGGACCAATTATCGGACAGGGAGAGGATGAGATAATAATAATAATAATAATAATAATGGGTTTAATTTATAACGCGCTTCATATCTGAGTTCAGATCCCGAAGTGCTACAAGCATTTAGCATGGAACAAAAATAAAAACAGTACACAACACGGTAGAATGAATAAGATGCAAGCATAACCCACATTATGCGGCCTAATAGACTGATTGTAGGTCAGGTTGGTTGAGCACTTTTGAGTGTTATTAAGGCCCGGACACACCAAGCCGATTTTGGCCGTCGATGGGCGTCAGGCCGACGATGAGTGTCGACACGCCCTACTCAGATTGGTGTGTCCCGCACCGTCGTGTCTTTTCAGCCGTGCCGACACCTTTTCGGCCGAAAACCCACCGATTCAACATGTCGAATCGGTGGGCAGTCGGCAAAAGAAATCACTCTGATTGGCTGTTCAGCTAGCGAATCAGTGCATGAGAAGCGAAACGGAAGTGAGGGACCCAAACAAACTATTAAGAAGGCAAATCTGAGATTTCATTTAACTCCAGCTCTCGACACAGGTTCGGGAAAGCCCCATGAGCTTCTCGCTGTAGAGTGAAAATGGAACGCACACGCTATTTGTTGTTTATATCACGCAGTCTGTTCTTCTTCTCTCTGTTATCACGCAGGCTGTCTTCCGGTTGTTGCCTCTTTTGAATGACGAATACTCACTACCGACGCCTGCTGGTAAGGAGAGTTATTGCCACTCACGCATGCGCAGTTTGTACGTGCAACTTGGCCGTCGGCTGAAGTCTTTGCGGTGTGTTCCTACCGATTCGACAAGGTGTCGGCACGGCCGAAAAGACACGACTGTGCGGGCAGGGTCGGCTCTAGAACAAATCGAATGGGGGGGAAATCATTGACCACGGGGGGGCACACACTGCCGTCAACAACCAACACACAAACACCAACGCAACTTCAATTTCAAAACATGCTGTAAAGTCTATTGTCTTTCACACACATTGCAGGGGTGTAGTGCTATTTTATAGCGCACCTATGACTTGTGCATACATGCACGGTTGTGGCACGACCACCCGAACAGAAACATATGGACATAGGCCACCATATAAAAAGTGTGCAAATGTATTTAGTATCCCATCCATGTGAACATGATTTAAGTGGGGGCTGGACCTCACCTCCTCTATGGGGGTCCGGGGGCATGCTCCCCGAGCAAGATTTTATTTTAAATATTGAAGTTAAAAGCATTAATCTGGTGCACTTTCAGAGCAAAATGAAGAGATCTATGGATACATCTCTCAACACCCATATGAAACAGAACTGTAAACAGATTTTCTTTTTCTTTATGGATATTTTACAAATCACTCACTGTTTATTAATAACAACTTTATATATACTCATATAGTATTTTATACCTGTTTTTCATTTATTCTCTTATTATTTTTAAACTATAATGATCATATAGGCTAAAGATGTTTCTCGGAAATACTTGTTTGCATAAATGGTGACCAAACCGTTTGAGACCCACTGAGATAAATTACACTAAAGTTAACTATCTAAACACTGAGAGAGTCCTTTACCTCACTGAGCTGACGTTATAAGATCCTCTCAGTCTGACAGGGGAGGACTTTCCCTTCACCGTTGTAGAAACAGCTCTTTATACCCATTAGCATAGCTAGCTAAACAGATGCTAACAACAACATTCCACGGTACCGCTCGCCCACTCACACAAAATGCGCTCGTCCCACACACACACACAGAGCCGAGCTTGAATGAAACACAGAGACCCAGAAGTACTTCTTGTAGTACTGTATCATATTATTTTCTATGGCTTTACTGTATAATCAGTATAACAGATGAACAGATCACCACTGGGCTTTCATCTAAACACACAGCCACGTAATGACAACAAAACAAAGGTCGGGGGTCATTGGTCAAGCAACACACCAATCAAAGAGCAGCAGTGAGCACACCTCAGGCTGTGTTTTTTATTTGTGTTCTATATTTCTGATTCATTTCACACAAAAAACTTTTATTGGAAACGTTTTCACTTATAATATGATAATACAAAATAAAATAAAACGGCAAAGTGGCAAGGCTTGCCCGCCCTGCGTTGGGTGGGGAACAGTGACTCATTTGGGGGGGCATGGCCCGCGAATGACCCCCCATGACGCCGACCCTGGGTGCGGGACACACCAATCTGAGTAGGGCGACAGGACTCTCATCGTCGGCCTGACATCCATCGACGGCCAAAATCGGCTTGGTGTGTCCGGGGCTTAAGAGGCTTTAGATATGTTATGGTGAAAGAAAAAGGAGAGAGATGTAAAGGGACACTCAGAGATGGAGACAGGGAGATAGAGGATATCAGTTCTCATCTGGACCTTGAGTGGTGGCAGTGCTTTTTACCTGCCTGTTATTAAGGTGGCTGATATTACTGTCTCTATAATGCAGCAGCTAATTTAGCCCTGTCATTTTAAAATAGTCCAGCATTAGTCAGACGAAGCCTCGCTGCCCTCCATCACAGCGTCCCCTCATTGACTGCTGCATTGCATATACTCTCCCATTCAAATAGCTGTCATCTCCCACACAGCAGACTGACAGACCGCTGGATGTCTGCCACCTCTGGAGCAATGGGCCTTTCCTCAGCAACCCCTGTCAACTTAACACACACACACACACACACTTGTAAGTGCACAAAACACATACAGTATATAGACATCCATATGGTTTACACACGCACACACACCTCCATCCTCAGCCCTGTGCTCAGACAGCAACCCCCACAAGGACACCCTGTCAAAACCTCTTCCTTTTCACTTCCTGTCTCCATGTGCTGTGGGGCCTTTGAAATCTGTTCCTTTTTCTGTTTTTTTTTTCTGGTCTGTTTTTCTTCTCCATCTAACACAGATGTGTGTGTTTTTTTTTCTTCCCCTCCTATTTCACAATGCCTTTTGTTCACCCGTTCTGTTAACATGTGTCAGGTTGGGCAGCCTTGACATTTTCCAATGTGTTTTTGTATGAAGAAATCAAGATGCTGTTTCATAGAATATGGTTTTATATCTTTCACTACCTACATCCATAAGGTTGATATTTTCTGAATCGTAAGTCACATTTTACACTCACCTACACACCCACTAACTGAAAGTATGTGTGCATATGACTAATCCTCTTCATCTCTTTCTGTATCCTGTTGTGTGTGTCAAGTATTCATGAATATTAAAGATTTCATAACTTCATTAGCATTTTGATTTCCCACACATTTATTTGTATTATGCACAAAAGTGTCTAACTGACTCAGAGACTTTTTTTCTCAGATATTTGCCAAGAGAACAGCTTAGAAATGTCTACAGACAGCTGCAAGGCCGGAGATGACTTCATCGTTGCATTGTTCAACCTCTTCAGTTGCCTGAATAATGTTCCAAAGGCCTTGACTCAGTCCCTTCAGCCATACCTGGAAAGGTCACGCATGTGGGAGCATCTCTACACACTGGCAGGTAAAGTAGCAACCAGCTGCTGCATAATGTTGCAGAACTGAAGTCCTGACTACAGACTTACCCTAACCTTAGGAGCTGCAGTACTGCCCTACTATGCATTGTCTGCTTCAAAACCCAATGTGTTTTTGTGTTAATAGAAAATATACACTTACTTACTTACTGATTGAGAGACACTAAATACTCAGAAAATCTATTATAGATAAGTTTAATACAAAAGTAAATCTGACCCAATTTCTTTTTTCTAAGGGCCAGTGTTGACATTGCATGCACGTGAGCTAAATCACGACTTAATATGCTGTTACAGAGACTGCAATTACTCCCAAACTCTTCCTTTCTCTCTGCCTCTCTCTGGTACATGCTTTGATACAGAGCTTAATCAGAACTCCTGTGGAGTATGGAGCCCCTTTTGGTGGTGATTTTTATATCCTGGTTGAGTGGTAATTATTGTAGCATAAATTAGGGTGATTGAAGAAGAGTATTTGGATGGAGACAGAGCAAGGGAGGGGTTGACAGAGGGAACAAACCAAAAAGAGATAGTGTAAGCCAGGGAGAAATTCTAAAACTCATCCAATCATCATTTATCCTCACAGGGTAATTAGTTTAATTATTTGACTGTGCCAAATCTTTGTATTATAACTTTGGTTACAGGATACCCCCGGTGCCCCCATTTCTATTTAAACTGTTCAACTTGAGTTAACTTTCATAGATTATGTTGAGAGTTGACTATTTCTCCACTTACACTGATGTTTCATCACACGGTAGCAGGTTGTTTCGAATCAATACTCCAGTCAATACTGTAGCGGGCGGTATAAACTCTGAGAACCAAGTGACTTTGAAAAATAGGTCTAGGTCTCACCTGCCACAGAGCGCTTCTCCTTCGAAAAGCTATATCATTTTCTGTTCCGCTCACCTCTTTTCTATGGTTCTGAGGTCACACATTTGTTAGGCCTCCCTGGAGATTTCAGTGCACTTCCAGCGTCGTCACAGCACTATATCTCTCTGTTGTAGCCTTTGGTTTTACAGTCTACACTGTAGGAAGTTTATGGGTGCCATACAACTTCATGCTGTAGCTGCTCTGCTTTCAATATGAGAGAGATATGAAAGGGCAGAGCGACAAAAGAAGAGGTGCACCTGGAAAAGGTAGTACAACGTCTGCTGTCAGGCCACCTGGGTTTAATCGAGAACATCTGAATTTAACTTGACATTACTCGCTTTTAGTGCAGATACTTCAACAGAATACCTTAGAAGTCTGTTGATGGACAAGTTATTTATGTCTCTGTATTTTCCAATTGTTTGCAGAGGGGAGTCACCTATTCAGCGTGCTATGACTAGGGGCTATTGCATGTAACCCACTCTAATTTGGTAGCAATCATAAAACTTAATCTACCCTTCATTTTTATGTCAATATTATGGCATGTCGGTGGGTCTCTGACAAGTTTACAAGTCAAAACATTTTATGATTTAAGACCTTGTATAGTATTAAAAATGTATTTTATTAGAACAGTAATAAATGTTCCTACATACAGTTGGAGGATTATATTTTTTATTGTGCACTGAGAGACTTCTTTGTACTACACGTCTACTTTTAAAATAATAAAAAAACAGGGTTTCCCCGTAAAGCAGGCAACATTTTTGCTTATGGAATTCTACTTGACATCATATTCTAAAGGTTAATTTCTATTAATTCTTCTAAAGTGACTAGGGAGTTTGTCAGATGGTGGTCTCAAAAATAGGACATTGTACCATTGTAGGTCAACTGCACTTAACATTTTTTGTTTGTTAACCTGGTTGAGCAGAGGTGCTTTATTCCAAAGTAGTTCATCAATCGCCTGGGTGTCTTCTTTTTCACTGGCTTTGGACCTTGCTACAGCATCACACTTGACACAGCCTTACATGAACCTGATGCTTGTTTATACACAGGAGAGATGTTTTCTTTTTTTATTGCAGCAGCATAAAAAAATCATTGATAGATAGAAAGGTCTTTTAGCCTAATTTATTTAACCGCTGCATGTCTTTTACGGTTTCTCTCAGACACGACCCGGGCTGTACCTGTAGTGATCAGCTGTGTCCGAGCGATCGTTACAAAGTCTATCCACAGCATCCTGATACACCTGGTCTCCATGGTGATTGGTTGGCAGGCCACGGAGGAGCCTAGTGGGGCCTTGTTTAAGCAAAATGTACCAGAGAGCATCCTAGCTAAAATACCCAAGGAGTGGAACTACACACCACTGGAAGCACGCGGAAAGGAGACTGACACTAAGAGTACGTATGTTGGTTGTCACATTTTCAAATGAGCAATAAAACATCTGGTGGTTGTTTTCAAAAGCAAACATTTCTTTCTCCTTCCAGCTGTCATATCTGTAACTATCCAAGCCTTATCCCTCATTTTCACCAACCTGCCCTTGGCCGTAGCATCCATACCTCTCCCCATCCGCTACCTCTTCCAAGTGGCAGAGAAACACCTCTCGCAGCATGCTCGGCAGCTGCGCTTAATGGGCCTGTTACTCTGGGCCCTGTTAGGCTGTCTGATCCAGGGCCTGGAGGACCCAGACACACTAGAAGAGATCAGTGGTCTGGCTCTCACCCGTGGGGCAAAGGAACCCCTGTCCCTGCTGGCTGAGTGCCTACAGGCTACCATGGGCATTCAACAGAAGGTAAATGATCCGGTCTTTGTACAATAATAATGATAACAATACTATCTATAGTAATTAGCTGGATGTTTTTATTCAAAGTTGGTTAACTGAGAGCATAATACCAACCTGTTGTGTGTTTAAAAACCCTGATACTATCCTTTTAGGATATTGATGGTTGATTTAATGTGTGCCAACAATTCTGACTTATTAACCTTAATGGTCTGCTGTTTGTCTGACAGGGCGTTCCCAAACCAACAGTGCACAAAGTGCTGCAGACTCTGGAGGAGAAAAGACCAAAGTGGACAAACATGCAGCTGCAGAAAGCCCGCAAGCTCTGCTCAGACAGGTGAGAGGTCAACTGCGAGGATTTAGCAAGAGGTGAAGGTCACAATGGTATTGATGTCATTTATATTACTTTTTCATGCATTCAGGAAAACACTATATTATGGCTATCCATCATTAGTCTCAATTGATATTGATTATTCATGTAGGGCTTCAACAAAAATTGTGGTATCATTTTTTGCAGATAATTTCTATCGTAAAAACAGCTTTTTATAAAGTGAATTTCCCAGTACATAATTTTAGTGATTTATCAATAGTAATTGAGATTGAAGGCTGATGAAGGAGGTGGTTCAAACTGATCAAACTGACTGATGGTGTAGTAAACTACTTGACATTCAAAAGAGATACTGAATACAACAATGAAAAAGAATGCAGCTCAGATATGCTTATTTTTAATTGAGCATTTAAATTCTGATGTATCGTATCATCAAGATCATTTTTCATGTTAAAGCTACATGAGTAAGATCAATGAATCTCAGATGTGTTTGTTGTGGTAAATGATGGACATGTTGTCTGACTGAGTGGACTGCAGGCTGGAGTGATGGGAAAACAGCTTTCACTTTGGGCGGATCGGTGACCTTTGGCTCGCTGTTTTGTAGCTTGTTCCCAGAAACTGTGCCTCTGGTCGCTCACTTCATCATAGCAAACTTTGGATACATCCATCCTCATAAAAAGGTGATTCAGTCCCGTACCACAACATGTAAAAATTAAGAGAATGAAATAAATAAAAAAACTGATTAGATTACAGCCAGTTCTAGGAAATGCTGTCTGTTCCAGTGACAGGAAGAAGGGTGAGATCGGGGGGGGGGGGGGGTTAAAAGAGAAGAGATGGGCAATGGAGGGGTGCAGAGGGGGTTGAGTGGAAAAGTGAAAGAAGAGTGATTATGTATCACCTGTCGGAGGCATTCAGTGGGATCATTACTATTCATTAAACTAACCTTCACAGGGAAGTGACGCCTGGCTTGTAAACAATCAGAATACAGTGTCAGAAAGAGAGGGGGAGAGAGGAAGAGAGAGACTGTGTAATAACTCCAAAAACTACTGGCACTCCACTCAAAGCAGCTCACACACACACACACAACACACACACCAAACACACACCACACACACACACAACACACACACACACACACACACACACACACACACACACACACACACACACACACACACACACACACCACACACACACACACACACACACACACACACACAGTACACCCCTCAACAAAGAACATTTGGCCCTTGCGAGCCCTCCCATCTCTGTCCCCTCATCCCACTTTGCCTCCTTCCTTTCCCAACTGCACCCCCTCCCCACGCCACCCACCTTGTCTTTGCAAAGTAATTTGTAGAGGAGAAGATTATTGTTCTCCATCATGGTGACCCTGGCTGGGCTGACGGGATGCATACACAGATGAAGATGAATGCAGTTATTCCTTGGCGGAGGTCTGCCTCTTTCAGGGCACATTGGCCCTAATGACATGATTGATAGGCTGTCCCAAATCCGGAGGGGCCCTCATTAATCACCCCGCTGACTGAATCCAATCATCTGCTTCACCTGCACAGTGATGGACAGGAAAGGATACAGCACAGGTGCTGACACGGATGCACAGCCACCATCGTCGACAACACCACCGCCGGGCCGTCTGCAAAAGAATGAGGGGATGTTCATGGACGAGAGGGGACTCCTCTTCCTTTGCCACTCTCAATGTCAAGCAGCCAATGGCTGGCTGACAGGCGACACCGTTTCTGCCACCTTATAATTACAAAGGGGAAGAGAGAGAGAGCAGGAACAATGACAGGAAGTGTATGTGAAGGAAAGGTTTGATGGACGGTAGGGTGATATCCATCCATACAGGAAGGGCAGGAAAATGATGCGGGCGTCTGCCAGGGTTGGGGAATGTACATGCATAAGGACCTTGACACACAGTAACACACGCTTAAAAACACACACACCAATCACTTTTATTGCCCAGCATACTTCGGTTAAAATTCCCCGATGTATCTCATGAATGGAAATGAAAACAGTAAAGTTATTGTGTTATCTAACCCTTTAATAATTTGGCTGTTTTTTACTTTCGTGCAAGCCTTAACCTGAATGGTCTGAACGTTTATTCAATTTTTTTTTCTTCCCAAGAATTGCATTTCAAAAAACCAAAACAGATAATTAATTATTATCTCAGGAGTCGTGTTTCAGTCAATCGTTTTTTGCAAATCCAAAATGGTGAAAATTGTACCCAAAATGATTCACTAAACTAAAAAAAACTTTCTTAGCCAGAGGTGTAATAGAGATACAAGCTGACACCCCCTATTCCTGTTTCCTCTCTTTCCTCTCTGCCTGTTTTTTCTGTCTTTGTGTTTACTCTCTCATCTCCTACTTTTCCTATCTCTGTTTCTCTCCTAGTGTTTCTGAGCGAGGAAAGGAGAGCGGAGTCGCTGAACTGACTGAGCAGAAAATAGGCCTGATGCTGCTGGAGGTCTGCCACAAAGCAGGTGGCAGCGACTACCTGAGGCAGATCTATCACATCATCCAAGGCAATGAGGTAGGGAAGCACTCCCTCTCCCCAGCAATTAGGTGGCTGCTGGCCTGAGGCCGCAGGCTGTTCAGGAGGGGGAGACGGAGGGAAGGGGGCTGCTGCTTGTGTGCAGTCTGCTTGTTCTGATCTTCTGTTGTTCAGGTGACCTCAAGAGTGCAAACCTACAGTGGTTTCCTGTGTTATACTCTCACCACATGTAGAATATAGGGAGCCGCATGGAGCTACCACATTCAGCATAGAACTCTTTGTAGGAGATCTGAGTGAGAAAGAGCAGCGGTTCTTAAAAAAAGTTCTCTTAGCTAAACTCTCTTCAGAGAAAAAAAAGTTTAACTGAATGAAATGTGCCTGACTTAATTGAAAAATATATATATACATAGAGAGCTGGTAAAACAAGTGAGTTAAAGAGAGGACTCCTGGAAAGAAGTAAAAACGACATAAAAAGTGTAACATACAGAAACTTGCAGGTAACTGGTTCTATAACACCTCGGGTATCTCTATTAACACTTCTTCTTTAGTTCAAATCAAACAAAAACATCCATTATCTACAGCACACTACATTTACATCCCACAAAAAATCTCCTGCTACTGTATATCACAAAGGCAATAATATCTATACATTACCCACTGAATGACTTTTGGGCTTATATCTTAACATAATGGCTCTTAAAAAGGGAAAGATTATCAATAATGGGATGAGGCCTGCAATACTCTGTAAAAATATGACATTATAAAAGATCAAAACCATATTGTGGATTATTCCAATTTCCCAATACTTTCCAACTTCCCCACCCTGTCTCTGACATTCAGGCACAATGGTTCATACCGAGGACATAAACCTTTTGGAAAAGGTGATGAGCATGTACTCTCATTTTGAGGAAACGATGAATCATATTGTACATCGGTTGGAATTCATTGGCAAATATTAACTGGTAAGTCTTTGTTGGAGAAATGTTCAAGGCAAGGCAAGTTAATTTAGATAGCACTTATTAATAACAGAACAATTCAAAATGCTTTACACAAAACATTTATACCATGGAAACAAAGCTTCGCGCAAGCGCAGAATAAAAAATGAATAGATTAAGAGCCAAGAGAATAGAACATGAAATCAAGCTAAAATTAAATGGGAATAAAAAATACAGGGCATCGTAATATATAAATATCATATATTTTATTCACACTTCCAGAAGCTTAGATCTTCTCTTGCAGAATGCTATGAGAATCAATACAGTACTAATAGAGTTTTCTTAGCTGGGAAAAGTTGGGCTGATGCTCATGTGTTTCTTAGAGACATGGTCCTCCTATAGACTAGTCTATTAGGACACGGTGTGGAATAACACAAACATATACATTATTTTTACTGTTTTTGGAATCAGTGAACAGCTATAACTCTGCGTAGCAATTGAATAGAATGTGAATAGGATTCCCAGGTAGGCTCTGAGTTACCCTCCTGCTAGCTCGAGTATCTCCACCGAGCCAAGGTCGACGCAAGAACACGAAGGTCAGGGAGAGACCGGGCTGGTGGTGAGGCGGGGGGGGTAGGAGGTTCAGAGGCCATGTCCAGCTGACGGATGGGAATATAGTGAATTCACACCGGGATGCCCATGTACTACATGTACGCACACACTTAAAGAGATGTACACACTCATTACTTTATACTGTAGGCCTATGGTAATGTTCCTGAACATATTGGATTTTTTTATACTTTTGTGAGGCTGATCAATTTGGATCTTGGAGAAATTGATTATGTTATGCTTTCATTTTGTCAGCAGTCCAACTGAATAAAGAATATTGCAATAGTAAAGAAAAATCCTAATGTCTAGATGCTGAATGTCCTTCAGTATGCTCCATCAATCTTTCAGTCTGAGGAAGTTTTGTTTTTAAAGTAACTTTTTTGCCTCATTTGGTCTCAGTTTGTCAACCTTTTTCTTCACAGAATATGTTCTGACAGTCTGTCAGTCATGATATGTCTTTTTCAACCTCCCTCTTCTCTGTCTCTCTTGTTTTTCCCCTCTCTCTTCACTTCCGCCATGGATACAGGAATTACTGATGTCAAACCTAAGTGGAAGCACAAATTCGCCCAGTAATCCTCCTCACTTGGTGAACTTTGACCTTGGCTCCGAGAGTCGCATGGACCCTGACTGTTTCAACCCTCTCCACCAGTTTGATCATGTTGGCAAGAAGACGCTGGATCAGGTTTGTCAAGCAGCTTTACAAGTTGTCATCACATTTTTATTTTGGTAGCAATTAAAACGTTTTTTTTACATTTATTCTACCTCTATGAAATGTATTTGATATTCTAGTGATCAGTGGTGCAACTATGTGTCTTTAGACTTTGTACGGTGTGGATGTACTTTTGATGTACAGGGTGGTGTCGTTTTTACTTCCTCCCAAGGCCACAAGCTTAATGTTGAAGGTTAGGAGCTGTTAGAGTCTCTAGTGAACTGGATACTGTGGCAATCTCTGAAGTTGTCAGGTCTTTCTGGGGCTCGGCTTTCCTATTCTCCATAGGTCGCTACCTTTTCCAAGCAGCAGTTAGACTAGCAGGAAGAAAAGAACGCTGAAAAGGTGAAAAGATGAGAAGAGATTTCTTTTTCCATAAAAAGAATGTATAATGTTAAAGGAGAGTGCAGTCTGAAAGTGCACTTCTTTGGAGCTTTGAACGGTATACCCTCTTACCCCAAACTATTCCCCAGGAGTGCCACCATGATGTTCAGTTAATTGTTAGATTTTCTTTTCCGTATAAAGAGGATAAGTTTAGCTACAGGTAGTCCTAGCTAAAAGTGAGAGTTGTCAGCTTTCACCCGCCATGCTCCTCTTCTTTCAAGAGAAATACGACAGATATAATACAAAACAATCAACAAAAGCTTGTATTTTCTCAAGAAAGGCTTGTGTGTGTATTTTTATTTAAACAAATATATAAGGATTAGATTTATACACACATTACATCCCTTGTAATGTAGCTCTGTTTGCTGCAATTGTTTTTCAAGAACAGACACGTTTTAATCCTCAGACTTGGCCTGTTTTCGGCTTATCACAGGAGGCTGCATAGCTTTGCATAGAAACACCCTATTAAGAGAATGATTAAAATGCCTTCTCCGCTTCAGGTGCCTGTGTTGTTTGTCAAATAAAATGGAGGGTGGAGGGGGAAAAAAGTTACATCCATCAATCACCTACGAGGAAGGAGCTGAGAGGGGGGATGAATGGATGGAGGGAACGAGTGGAGTTCTCCTCCTCTAGTCAATAAAACTCAGCCTGGAGTTAAGGTGACATTTTGGCAATCAAAGCAATCAGATTTTTATTTGCTTTCCCAATATGCTGCTAGTGCCAAGTGTGTTTGGGTTTGTTCAAATGCGTGTGTTTACAAAAAAGAGAGAAAGAGAGCAAGAAATGGAGGGAGAGGGGGGGTTGGCGGGGTGCCATTGAAGATGGTAAGAAAATAAAGCAGAGCAGCCACAAGAGTAACGACTCCCTCCCAAAATTGATTTATCTTTCTATAAATGATGGCTACATCCCCCCAAATGGATTTATAAATTAATTGCTGTCTTATTGGAATAAAAACCTTCTTGTGCGGACATGATTGATCGCCTGGTGTTGGTAGCCTGCGCTGAGGACCCCCCTCCTCCTTTGTTAGTGGGTCCCAGCTGGAGCAGTAATGCACTGATGGTATTAACCCTGATTAATAACTAACAATACCCTATCCTCATACATCAACAGAGTGCAGTGGTCGACTGGGCATGGGACTGGACAAAAGTGCTGCCAGCCTATCAGGGCATGAGTCAGATCACCTTCAAAACTCTGCTGGCCAACAGGTAAAACACTCATTTCACTTAATAGACACATGTCCACTGACAGGGGGAAGGGCGTGCAAACACAAGTGTCTTTACATGTACACAATGAGGCGTTCATTTGGGACTCCGGAGGCAAGTTTCCCTCCACCTCCAAATTCCCTTTTGACTTAACTTCAGCTTAAGCACCAGTCATTGGGGATCGCGTAGCCATAGCTGCTCCTCATCATAGGTACAAACTTCCACTTTGTTCAAAGGCCAAGGGCTCATGTGGTGTTTACCATTGAGGATGAGCTTGAGAAAGAACGCTTTTGGAAAGTGTACTGGAGTGCCATAATACCCTGTGTGTGTGTGTTGAATCATGGGATCCTGTTTTTTTAATGCACATGTGGCTGACTGTTTGCATGGATAACGTGTGTGCAAATGTTGGTAATTGAGGTATGCCTTTTCTTCAGGCCTTGGAACAACCACAAAGGTAGTAAAAGATTGAAACATTGGGGCTAGCTCAGAAGATGTTAGTGCCACCTGATTCCGGATTTGTTTGCCCAGGTCCACCACTCCTTTCCCATCCTCCACCTCCCCCCCCACTCTCCTGTTCTGCTTTGCAATGGGCATACATATTTATGCAAGTATGTGACACATATTAGATGGCAATTCTTCAGGCTGTTCCCTGTTCTCCATTCACAGCTGTCACGCTGCCAGCTATCAGGGAGCCATGGGGCTATTGCACCTTGTCTCCACGCCTACGCCCAATCTATTCTAAATCACCGCCATTGTAACACACATACACCTTTCTAACAAAGGGCAAGCTCTGCATCTGCCAAGGACACAGGTCTAATAAGGGTGAAGTATGCAGCTCTGTGCTGTGACGAGCTTTGTCGCCTTCATGCCTCTACCCCCTCTTCCCAAAGACACACACACACACACACACACACACACACACACACACACACACACACACACACACACACACACACACACACACACTCCATTCTTCCTCCCCTTACATGATGCTTTGTTGCATGTTAAAACCGATACTGTCATTGCTTGACTGAGCCAAATTAGTGTTGGGGCATACATGAATAGAAACCGAATGTAGTGGATATAAAGTCTGTTGGAGGAGAGAGGGGGGGAAAAAAACAGATTGGTCGCAGTTTGAAATAGTGACAGAGATCGAGAGCAGTCAATACTGCCATGGCACCAAAAAGTATGAGGAAGGATGGGAGTGGGAGGGGGTAAAGGTTATATAATTCACCCTGATCTCACAGTATCAAAGTGTCTGAGATTCTGCCATTTGCCTCATTAGCCTCCCTTTGTTGGGCCAGAGGAGCAGATTTCATGGAGGATTTGGAGAATGGCTTTGGTTCTGCATGAGACGCTTGCACAGAGCAGGAAGTTAGTTTCACGGCTGGCGACATGTAAGCTGTCAAAGTTTTCCTCGGATCCATCTCCGACTCAAAAATATCTCTCAAGCTATAGAAGACCATTCACGGGATAAGCGCACTGATGTTGGATCCACTGATCCATTTGTTAGTGCAGATAAGGATAATGCTTTCTGCATAACGGCAGACTGAAGTGCCCTCGGCTGTTTTCACAGAGGCTTCGCAACAATTGCTCTTTTACTCATTCCAGATGCTGGACAAACCACAGGATATCAGCTTACACTTTTGTCCATGTTAATAATAATGACTCTGTCTTATACTGTATGAAAACACCTATCATTGTGACCTTGTTATGTTCTGTATATTCAGTCTTATGAGTATAAGTCTCCTTGAATGACTTCCCTTCTTTGTACATAATTTTTTTTCCCGCTCCCTTGACTGTGTGAGTTACCAGTGTGGCCCATTGGCCTCCTATATATTGTTACAGTGGCAGGACAGTTATTGTGCCCAGGGTTTATATCACATTCTAATGGAGCAAGGCTATGAGTTAAGGGCGGTAGGCTTTTACACCAGGGCTGTTAAATCACTGTTCAGATGACTTCATTAGCAGAGGAGGACACATGCTGAGACACACACACACACACACACACACACACACACACACACACACACACACACACACACACACACACACACACACACACACACACACACACATTTTCACCCTGCTACCTTGACGATGTAGCCAGACAGGAGTGAGAGTGGATTTATACAGGTGTGTGTGTCCTTCTTTGTCACCTGTCACTTCAGTTCCCTCAGCACGATGGCTCATCCATCATCTGCAGATTGAGCTTTTCAGCAGAAACCAGACTGATTAATACCACCCTAGGACCCCCAGGGTTGACTGGCTGACTGGCTGACCTGACTTCCTGGCAGGCTGGAAGTTTGAATGGATAGATGGACAACTTGTGGGTGTGATAACTTTTAAGCCTGCTTATTTGCTGGCAGCTAAATGGCTGATTAACTGGGGTATGACTGTTCATATGGATGTAGCAAGCATGAATCAGTTGAATAGTGGATTAGTGACAGGCTGAATGGTGTTTTGACTGAATGGCTAGGTGGTTGACTAGCCTGTTGGCCTTTTTTGATGAATGGCAGGTTTGGAAAATGGATTGATCAAAAGAATATAATGGACTGACTGTGGGAGGAAAACTGGTTGACTGAAAACCAGTATACTTAATCTGTAAAGGATCTTTCTCTAGCGAAACTATATATTTTTTTTAATAACTCCATCTTTATCTTCTAAACACCATCTTTCTCAAGTTTAATCCATTCAACTATCCTTTACAGATCGGATACTATGGTACTGTTGGCTTTTGAAAAAGGTGTTGGCTTTTGAAAAAGGTGTACTACAGATATACCACGTCAAACAGTATTCAATAATCAAGGTTCAGACCTCAATAGCACTACAGTACAGATGTATTTAAACCATCATGACGTGTATTCACCCAGTTCCTTTGTAATGAGTCCTTAGCAGCTTTAAAGCAAGGTTCCTTTCATGAAATGCCAAAATCAATGACATTACATATTCATGTTAAATATGTGCTTGACGTTTCACCTCGAAGAAATTGCGCATTGAAGGTTTTGTGTTAATTCTCATGATCTACAGATTTACTTCAAATTATGAGTCATCATTTGCTGTAGAAGCAGGGAGTCAAAGTGCCAAGTGATTTAACTGAACCGAATAGTTCCTCTTCAAACACTGATCGATGGATAACTAATTTGCTTTGTCCTTGGTTACACTTTGAAATCCCCTTTTCTTTAGTGAACACTTGTAACTATCACAGCAGATTTTTTTACAGAACAGTGAAAAGCAAAACAACCCCTAGGTTGGAATTAACAGCAGCAATGCCGACCCATGTCTTTCACTAATTTGCTCATTGCATTAAAAGGCCTTTATAAACTGGCTTTTATGTAAAAAAAAATTCCATCCAAGGAAAATACATCAAATCTTTGAAAAGGTATGAAATATTGCCACAGAGAAATGCCAAGGTGACTTTTTGAGACACTTTCCTTGAGTCTGTATGTCAGAAGAGGTCCTCTGACCTGGTTGATAAGGGGTAGACAAGTATGAGGGATGAAGCCCGATGTGTCACAGGGCGGCTCCTCCATTCCATCATAAGGACCAAATATCATTCAAGGACATTCACACCAACATCCCTTTTGCTGGTCTACTGCTCCAGGTACTTCCTAGAACCAGCATGGGGCAGCAGACAATAGACATTGACCAACAGTAAAGTTTATATATGCTATGTCTTGTGCGGTAACACATTTTCTCTTCTGAGTAAAAGCTAGTCATCACGATTTTATTTCACCCATTGTCAGTAAGAAAGTACTAACAGCATTGACCCATAGATTTGGTAGCTTAATATGTTAAGCTACACTGTAACTATGGAACACTAAAGCATTTCCTCCGCATTGTCTCATTGTTGCTGTTACCCCTCAGGTCCATAACAATAGCAGTTTGTGGAAAAATGCCAGTCTGAGGCATTCTCTTGCTTGAGCGGCTCCTTAAATTGCAGCGATAGACGCTTGTGCTTTCAGGAAGTGGGCAATCGCCATCTGTTCCTGGGCTCTGCCATATGGCAGGCCTTTTTCTCAGGGAATAAAATAAAAACAAATATGTCAGAATGTTCGTCTTCCTCCACGGACGCTGATCAACCTGGGGAGAAGCTGGATCTCAGTGTGTCTGGATTAATGGTCTTACTTTACGCTTCAGGGAATGAGGGAGTGCTTGCTGTGTGTGTGTGTGTGTGTGTGTGTGTGTGTGTGTGTGTGTGTGTGTGTGTGTGTGTGTGTGTGTGTGTGTGTGTGTGTGTGTGTGTGTGTGTGTGTGTGTGGTGTTGTGTGTGTGTGTGTGTGTGTGTGTGTGTGTGTGTGTGTGTGTGTGTGTGTGTGTGTGTGTGTGTGTGTGTGTGTGTGTGTGTGTTGGTGTGTGTGTGTGTGTGTGTGGTGTGTGTGTGTTGTGTGTGTGTGTGGTGTGTGTGTGTGCATGCATGAGTATGAGTATGAGTATGAGTATGAGTATGAGTATGAGTATGAGTATGAGTATGAGTATGAGTATGAGTATGAGTATGCCTGTTTGACGGTATGCACATGCTAATGCACATTTATGTACCTGGAAGTATCTCTGGAATCATTTATCTGCCTTAAAGGGTGATGTTACCGTACCATTTTGAGTAGTTGGTTGCCCTAGACTTGGAAGCATTAAACAACACAGGAGGAAAGAGCTTCAAGGTTAGCCAGAGTGACATTTCATGGCTGCCGCTGCCAAAGACACAAGACGAAACGCTCTCAAGCCATCATCAGGCTCTCCGTCTTTCGAGGCCAGAAATTCAAAAGACTTGTCACTTTTGAAAATCAGGAGAGTGTGATGTGTCATTGAGGAAGGGCTTCTTTCTTCTCTCGTCGATCCCCTTGTGTGTGTCCCCTCCACTGACTGACAGCTAGGGATGGGAGTTTGTGTTGGTGGAGACAGAATACATCTTTTGTCTGCTTGGTTATACATGGTGTGTTTTGTCTTCGCTACCCCTGGACAGCACTGACACATTGAGGTTTTCATTAGCCGTAAGCAGGTGGTGA